GTAGTATGCTTGCATGTTTGGGTTATATAAGTGCTTAAAAGTATATTGAAGTATGATATGAAATCTGGTACAAAGTTGGAACAGGTTTCATAACATGTTTCAATTCAGGGAACCAGGTCGGGGAACCAGGTTCACTGTACGAAATATTCGAGCTGCCGTTTTGGAAAAAGATTTTACAAAAAGATTTTTTCGAAAAGATTATTTTGAAAATATTTTGTGCAGCTGGAAATAAGATGAAATATTCTTGGTTACCTAAAAACTAGGAGTATTTATCTTAATTGATTCTATCTTTGTGATTAAATCAAATAAGATAAATACTTTCCTAAAATTACAATATATCTTATTCTCTAAGATTGTGTGATTTAAGGAAACTAGGTTTTAGGAATCTAAGCTTATATAAACTCATCTTATTTCACATATTTCGCGTGCCTCTCCAGAAATTAAAAAGAGCAATTATTTGAGAGCATATACTTAAGCACTAATCCCATTCATCAAGTCATATACAAGAGCATTCTAGTACAAAAACATTTTCTCTTAATTAGCTTCGTTGAAGTGAGATCAAAGGAGAGTTCTTGATTCTTGTATTGAGTCTTTAACAAAGGGGTTAAAGGCTGGGTGAGTGTTTGTGAGTTCAAACACATTGGGCTTACGAGTGTAAGTCGAGAGCACACTCGGAGTAGAGTGTGGGGTTTGCTGGTTCCCGGAGTAGGGAAACAGCAGAGTGTTCTTTGTCTTTGTTTTTCGGAGTAGATTAATAAAGAACTTAGGATAGGAGGACGTAGGCCTGAGTTGGCTGAACCTCGTTAAATTTGTTGTCTTCTTTATTTCTTATTTATATTCCGCTGCGTACGGGAACCAACACAACTGGTTCCTCACACATAATCCGAAAAGAAGCAAAATTAGCCAACGATTACTTAACACTCAATTCACCCCCCCCCCTCTTGAGTGCCCATTGAACCTTCATAATGGGCAAGAGTTCTTGAGTTTGAGACCTTTTATTTGAAAAAAAGGAATATTGCATCAAACCTCATGTGTGGATACCGCTCAACAAAATGGTCGTGTTGAAAGGAAACATAAACATATTTTAAATGTTGCTCGTGCTTTACGTTTCCAAGCTAAGTTACCTAAGTATTTTTGGGGAGAATGTGTTTTAGCTGCGGTTCATCTTATTAATTTGACCCCGACTCCTACTTTAAATGGTAAAACACCTCATGAATATTTGTTTGGGAAACCTCCTTCTTATGATGCGGTGCGTGTTTTTGGTTGTTTAAGTTATGTGGTGGATAATGCTCGTACTTAGGATAAATTTGACTCGAGGTCTAGGCGGTGCATTTTTGTTGGATATCCTTATGGGAAAAAAGGTTGGAGATTTTATGATTTGGAAATTAATGAATTTTTGATAAGTCGTGATGTGAAATTTGTTGAGGACATTTTCCCATTTATTGATACTATTAATGCAGCAGAGAGGGTGCATTGGGAGTCTTACGTTAATCAAGTTAATTTGTGGGATGATAATGAGTTTTATGATGATGACTTGCATGTGCATGCTCCTGTGCGTGAGATTGGTGTTAATGAAATGCATGATATAAATGCTACTGATGGTAATGAATTTAGTAATGTGTCTAGTGACATGCAAGTTGTTAGTGCCCCTGCCTCGTCATCAAATACTAGTAATGTTAATGATGATAATGCTTCTGTTGACCCTCTTGATTCAAGGGGGAGTTCGAGTGACATGGCAGTGATTAGCACTACAGGTAATGGTGAAACTTTGGGTCGTGGGCATCGTAAAAAATTTCCCTCTTCGAAGCTTCGTGGCTATGTTACTAATACTCTTGTTCGCCACTCTATAGACCCCACTCCTTCAAAATTTACTGCACCCGCTTCTCAATCACGTTCTTCAGGTAAACAATTTGATATAGCTTGTTATGCTGATTATAACAATTTTTCTATGAGACATAAGTGTTTTTTGACAGCAGTTACAAAGGGAAAAGAGCCTTCCTCGTTTAGGGAAGCTATAAAACATGAAGGGTGGCGTAAAGCGATGAAAGAAGAAATTGATGCTCTTGAGCGAAATGGCACATGAACTTTGGAGGACTTACTTCTAGGTAAGAAGGCTATTGGTAGTGGTTGGGTGTATAAAATTAAATATACATCTACAGGTGAAGTAGAGCGACTTAAAGGTCGTCTTGTTGTGTATGGCAATCGACAGGTTGCAGGTGATGATTATAATGAGACTTTTTCCCCTGTGGAAAAAATGGGGACTGTTAGACTCTTTCTTTCTGTTGCTGCTTTTTTAAATTGGGAGTTGCATCAAATGGATGTTCATAACGCTTTTCTTCATGGAGATTTGGAGGAGGAAGTGTATATGCAGTTACCTCCGGGTTATAATTGTGCTACTCCAGGGAAAGTTTGTAGGTTGCGTAAGTCTTTATATGGTCTGAAATAGGCTCCTCGACAATGGTTTTCTAAGTTGTCTAATGCCTTGAAATCTTATGGTTTCAAGAAATCATATGCAAATTATTCTTTGTTCAGTTATATTCAGGGTAGCGTCTCCTTCCATGTCCTTGTGTATGTTGACGATCTGATTATTGCTGGTTCGTCTCATGATGCGATTATTCGCTTTAAAAATATTTGAGTTCTTGCTTTCATATGAAAGATCTTGGTGTGTTGAAGTATTTTTTGGGCATTGAAGTTGCTCGTGGTCCTGAAGGTATATTTTTATCACAACGTAAATATGCTTTAGATGTGTTATCTGAAGCAGGAATGCTAGGTTGTAAGCCTATTGATACTCCTATGGAGCAAAATCATCCTCTGGCATATGCCGAGGGGGAGCCATTCTCTCAACCTGATCAGTATCGTCGCTTAGTTGGGCGATTGGTTTATTTATCTGTAAATCGTCCAGAGTTGAGTTACTCTGTTCATACTCTTGCACAGTTTTTGAGTAACCCGCAGGTGCAACATTGGGATGCGGCTATCAGGGTACTACGCTATATTAAAGGTAGTCCTAGTCAAGGTATATTGTTACGTCCTATGAAGGACATGTGTTTGACGGCTTTTTGTGATAGTGATTGGGCGGCGTGTCCTCTGACTCGTCGTTCTTTGTCTGGTTTTATGGTTTTTCTTGGTCGTTCCCCTGTCTCATGGAAGACTAAGAAACAACCGACAGTATCTCGTTCTTCTGCTGAAGCTGAGTATCGTGCTATGGCAGTTACAACTTGTGAGTTAAAATGGTTGAAATCTTTGTTGTCATCTCTTGGTATTTTGCATAACAAGCCTATGAAGTTGTATTGTGATAGCCAATCTGCTCTTCATATTGCTAAAAATCCCGTCTTTCATGATCGAACAAAGCATATAGAGGCAGATTGTCACTTTGTTCGTGATGAGTTGGTGAATGGTAATCTAGCTACTGCGTATGTTCCTACAGGTCATCAGTTAGCAGATATTTTGACAAAGGCTCTTGGGAAGCGACAGTTTGGTTTTCTCCTTAACAAGTTGGGCATTCGTGATTTACATGCTCCAACTTGAGGGGGAGTGTTATGATATATTTATGTTAAGTTAGATATATTTTGTGAATATATTTGTGTATATCTTATTAGGAGTTTTTTGGTGAGTTAGGTTAATGTTGTAAGCCTATATATATATGATTAATGGTAAAGGCTCATTAAGCCGTTTTCTCCTATTTTTTGTGTAAGTTTAACAAAAAATGTGTTTGGTAATTGACTTTATTTTGAGTCAAATATAATACAAAGCTCATACATGTGCTCTAGTTTTCGGCAGCCTAGTCGTTGGACACTGCAATTTTTTCCAAAGATCATGAGTTCAATTCTTCCTACGTAGAATTTTCAAGGCATTTAATTTTGTACTGGATTGACAATCGTTAGTAAAGAAAACTAGAAAAGAAAATTCATTATTCCACAAAAAAATTGACATGTAGGGAAGAATGGAAGATGTATTGCACAATTACTCCCTCTTACTACTCGACCTGGTCTTGCTTGGTTCCGGACCCTCCAATATTAATATGTTACTTTTTAAAATTAAAATAAAATAAGCTCTACTTAATTACGGGAAGAAACAAAATTTGTTTATAGCATGACATATTGGTAAGTAAATTAACAACTTTATCCAATCATCATCACTGATGTGGGACCCACTTTTATAAAAAAAGTTATTGATTTTACCAAAATGCTACTTCGTATGTGATAAACAATTTTTTTGTATCTTAGACATGAACTTGTATTTACTCGAAATAAAGTCCTAACTTGCTTGCACCCGAGCTATAGCTCACACAAATGCACCCGAGCTATAGCTCACTTGCTTGATAGCTTAGCTATAGGTCAGCCTTGCCGCAACTTTGTGTGCAACCAAGTTATCGCTCGCTCGCCTACGAGCTATAGCCTGGCCTTGTTCTTGTGTGTCGTCACCAAGAGAACGATAGCTCCCTTGGTAGCTCGGTAATATCTTCTTTCGATTTGCATTACAATTGTCGTAACTCCAATAATATTGTGCGCAACATGTTTCATAAAATCACTCACGTATTAGACCGTTAATTAGAGCAATCCTTTTTAGGTTAAAAACCTTTGATACACATCATCCTAAAGAGTATAACCTTCCAATTATTCAATAATGGAACGGGTTGTATTCATAAATTAAATAATGTAAGGCAAAGTGACCAAAAGCTCTAATTTCTCTCTTTACATTTTACTTTTTCAATGTCTAACTTGATTTACGAATGTGAATATTTATGTGATAGAATATTCACTCTTTTGCTGGTGATTTACACATTTTGCGGGAGATTTACACCGACGAGTGTGATCGATATTGTGGATCATAGTATCTCAAGGGATTAAAAAAAAACCCCAAAACTACCATGTTTGTTATTTAAGATTAAACGTCTCAAAGTAATGAAGTATAGTGGTAAAATGATTAAATGAATTACACATTTGATAAACAAAGTGTCATATAACACTCAGACGAACCGGATTTACTTGTACTTAATAATTTGACAAACATATACGAAGTATACCGTAATCAAATTAGTACTCGGCAGTCGGCACTCCATTTCTTTAAGTGTAAAGCAGCAGAAATCAGAGTAGAATAAAAATGTCAGTAGTAGAGATCAAACTCTCTCGATCAAACCGCATTTATCGCCCTGATGTCAGTTTTTTCTTCAAATTCTCCATTTTTAATTCTTGTTTCCTTCTTTCTTCTCACTTCATATTTTCCAGGAACCACTTCAAGGTAAAATCATCACCAAGTTTTCATCTTCTGTATCCCATTATGGTGTTCGCCTATCTGTCAATGGATCAGTCAATCTCCAGGTTTTACCCTTTTTCCCCTTAATTCTTGATTTGTTTAAATAAATTCAGAAATCCCACCAATTTAATGATTTTTTCCCTTATTTTTTGGGGTTTAATTTGTGTTTATTATTGAAGGTTCGTGGAGGCTCAGCTGGGGCTATTGAATCTGTTGTTGGTGTTCTTAAACCCATTACAATTGTGTAAGTTTATATTTTGTCTCATAAATTTGTTAATTTTTGACCTTAAATTTGTCTAATTTCTTTGTTTACTTATTGATCAATGTGTTATTCAAGAATGTATCCTTTCTGGGTATGGAAGATGATGGTTAATTATTTTGCAATTCGTAGCAATTTAGATGGATTAAACTCCCGGTCTCGGAAATTTGATACTCAATAATACTCCTTCCGTCCCAAATTAAATGCCACATTTGCCTTTTCAGTCTCCAAGACTAAATTTTGATCATAAAGTATATGGTGAATTTTATCAATTTAACAAGTCTCACATGACTATGTTTTTACTTGTAATTTGAGAGAATTATTGGTGAAAATTTATGCAATACATGGGATGCTCTTTGTTAATTATTGACTTTAACAATAAAAAAGTATGTAAAGCTCTAGTTTGTATTTGCAGCATATATTTTGCTCTAATTAGATGTATCTTATTATGGAAATAGGAAAAAGAGTGTTGAAATTAGACCTTCTGGGAAGATAAGCTCAGGCACTACGGAGGTATTGTCTTTATGATTTACTACATATTTCGTATTTAAACTGTCAGATGCTGAGCAAATTAGGCAATATAGGTAATTAGTATAGTTTTCTTCATCTACAATTGAAGGGATTTTATGTATGTATATTATGGGTGAATGTAAAGTGGCGTCAAGGAGTTTGAACTGCAACTGATATAGCAATGAAATCCTGAAGCCATGCTAGCTATTATAATATGTGTACTGTTTTGTTTATTCCTCTAAAATGCCGTGGGTGCATCATCTGTGTTTGTGTCAGATGGAATTGGAAAACCTTTCTAAATTCAATCCCTTTTTAAAGTGTCTGTTTTTCCTTGGTTTTGCGAATGACTGATTTTATTGGCCGGACTTTGAGCTTGACTTCTCTACCAGGGAGATTTGGCCCTGTATAACCAATTGAAAATGACTGAAGTCTTTGTTCCAAAGTGGTAACAATATAAGCAATTGGATATGGTTTTGTAGTTTCTTTCTAGGATAAAGTCGCTTACTTGCCTGTTTATGCGCTTGGACTCCTGAAAAATGAAGTCTGCGCAGCTTCTTATATACTGATCATGTTTCACTTGTTCTGTGAGGGAATACGTTTCATGTCAGGATTCATTGTCAGTAGTCAAATCGGATCTTAAGGCTGGGATTTGAGGGGGGGGGGATTTAGGTTTTATCATTTGCTTTATTGCTACACTGTTACTTTGTCATGAATGTCTCAAAGCCTCAATACAGATGTAGCAACAAAAGCTTTAGTCTTTTCTCCCAATTGAGCATGTTATACCTTTTCCTGCAGATCTGGTTTGTTGAATCATGTCATGAGCTAATTCTTGTGTTATTTTCTCATAATAATTATATAGTCTTTTCCTTAGCGTCTGTGGTGGATCACCCTATGAGGGTCAACAGTCAAGAAGCGGCAACCAATACGAAAGGGACAACAGAAGCAAAGAAAAGGAAAACAAACAACAAAGCATTAACAATGTCTAATTATGGTTTTGCCATTTTAGCTAAGGAGTCACATGTATCCATCTTTAGTCTTAGATGTCTTGAGTATATAAAGGTAGTAAACTTATTAGTTAGATAGGCAGAAATTGAGTGAACCTCTTGAGAGACTTGTAGCCTCAAGCTACTAGAGAGATTTGTAGCCTCAAGCTACTGAGAGATTCATAACCTCAAGTTATGACTATCCTTATGTAATCCAACCTTTAATCAATCAAATGTTCAAGCTTTTAGCTTTAATTAAATACTAATTATGCTTAATTAAATCAGTAGAATTCAGTCTATAACAGCGTCACAATCGATATGTTACTCGTGCTAGCAAAGAGTGAGTGAAACAGAGCTGCCTATCAAGGATGGTGGCCCTGGTGGGTTAATGAATAGACTTGAAAATAAGATGAGATAATGTGCTTTGTTTGTTTCATGATAAAAAGTTGCCAATTTATAATATTTTTTACTTTGTAATATTATATTTGCACATTGAACAATAGACTGGTTTCAAGGAAATTTTGTGGTTCTCAGTAAAGTTTTTGTGTTTACTACTTTTCCTCCTGTATCGCTCATGTCATTTTTTGGACTTGACTGACCTGATAACTATCCTTCATATGACAGATTCCTTTTTCTTTGATTTTGAAACAACCAGGAGAGAGCAAATCAGGAAAATTTTACGAAACATTTCATGGGGAAGATATAAGCATCCAGGTCTGTCACTGCTGATTTTCTTGTATAGCATTTCTTGGTGTGCCAATTATCAGTGGTTTTGTCATTTGTTACTCTGATGTGATAAAGAGTGTTCTAACTAATTTGAATCTCTCAGTATCTGCTAACTGTAGAAGTAGCACGCGGTTACCTGCACAAGTCATTGTCAGCAACATTAGAGTTCATCATTGAAAGTGAAAAAGGTATCAGTACCCAACATCTTGAGCAGCTGCTTGTGTTTTCTTGTTGGGGGGGGGGGGGTTTACACATTACCTATGCACTTAACCTGTATGTGTTCCTTATTCAGCGGAACTTCTTGAGCTGCCTATTTCGCCTGAACTCGTGCTCTTCTATATCACGCAGGATACCCAAAAGCACCCATTGCTTTCTGAACTAAAATCAGGTTTGATCACTCCCATGAATTTCTGTTTAATGCTGATATCTTGAGTATTTCATTTGATTTTTAGAGAGGCATTCTTGTTACATGACACTAGGATTCCACTGCAGTAGATTATGATTTAATGGTTTTATCTAGATACAGGGAAAGGAGTGAGAAAAGGGAATTGTATACCAAAACAATAAAAGTGAATTTGTAGGATCTGCAATCTGTAGGTTTTTCTTTGAGAATGGATTGCAGCTCTAGTATGATGCTGATACTATTGTTTCCTTTCTGTAACAACCTCTTTGTTATTGCATGGTTAAGATCCATAAGCCTGCATATTTGAGCGCTTCTCAGCCAACTGAACTGAGAATGGGAGCTTTGTTAGAAGCATTGAGATTTAGGATAATGTAATGTAATTTTGGGAGCTTTTGGTATTTCTATGTTCAACTATTGCTTCCCTATGAAAAGCTAATATACTGCTTCACAGGTGGTTTTCGTGTAAGTGGTAGAATTCCAACTCAGTGCTCATTGTCATGTGCCCTCAGAGGAGAACTGACTGTAGAAGCATCTGCATTGCCAATCCAGTCTATTGATATCCACTTGCTACGTGTGGAATCCATTCTTGTTGGAGATAGGATTGCATCAGAAACATCTTTGATTCAAACTACTCAGGTTGGTCTTTTTAACTGGCCTTGTGACTAAAGTAGTTCTCTTGAATTGAATCTACTTGTTCTTCTCCTTCTAGTAGATAGCAGATGGAGATATCTCTCGAGGCCTGACTCTACCCATTTACGTCTTACTTCCAAGGCTTTTAACTTGTCCCACTGTCTTAGCCGGGTATGTTTCTTTCATTTGTAAATGTTTGACAAGGTTTTGTTTTGTTTTGTTTTTTTTTTTCTTTTTTTTTTTTGGCTGTCATGTCACTTGTAGCATGCTGCTAGTGTTGAATATTCTGCATTCAATCTTTTGAATAGTTCTAGTGCTAGTGGTGATCACATACATGAAGTGCTAAATATAGGTAAAGTAACTATGAAATCTGCTGTTGAATATTCTTGAATTGATCATTAAAATGGATAGGTAACTGGAGCAATTTTAGGAGTGGCATCTTGTCATAATTCTTTAAGTGAATTCTCAATAAGCATTAGAGCATAGTTTCAGTAATTCAGTTAGTTGCTATTCCATATTATGTTTGGCTAGTTCTAATAGATTACTTGGACAGCCTTCAGATTACCTGTTACCAAAAAATTTAGGTAAAATATTTTTAAACTAACAGTAAGCCCTCTTTTGATGAACTAATGTATTTTTATGCACAATTTAATTAACTAGCTTGGGTTCATGAAGACTGGGAGCTAGTTTTGGAGGTTGATAATTTATCCCTGTTTCTTAAACTCAGCAAGAATGTTCGTGAGTGCTCTTACCTGGGAACCATCATTGGTGACATTCAATATTTAGCTGGTTTTTGTTCTTCTCTGTCTTTTAATCATGTTAGGAGGATGGGCAATGGGGTTGCGCATAAGTTAGCAAATGTAAGTAGGGAGTTTGGTGAGATGAGAGTGTGGCTGAAGGAAGTACCTCTTAGTGTTTGTTCTGCTGTAACTTTGGATGTTTCCTAATTATTTATAATAGCTGCCCTTTTGGTTGTGTGTCAAAAAAAAAAAAAAAAGGTTCACTTCCTCAGCAGAAAAGATCCTAGTAAAGTCTTTGAATATGTGTATGTATAAATTTTATATAATCTAGGATAAAGTGACACGAGGATCAGCCACTTTTAGTATGTCTCCCATTCATTCCATAGCTCAGCCCCCTAATTTCTGCATTATCATATATGATAATATAGCTGACACTATCATTCTTGCTCTCAGAACTGCATACATGTTATGCTATTTCCAGATGGGTTGACTGTTGTTTGAGGTCTGCCACCACTAGTGTTTGTTCTTTAAGAGGTTTAAAATGACACTCTAAGCTGATATTGTTAGAACTGTGATGAACAACAGTTTGCTTAATTTTGACGAGTGCCTGGTGATCATGGGTTGACTCTTTCAAGTAGCCTCCTCAAGAAATAGGAATGGTTTTTGTGTGCTTATTGGGAAAGTCTTGCACTGGCTAGCTGGTAGCTGGCTCTTTTTAGGCTGTTGACATTAGGTGGGAAAAGCTTTACAAGTAATTGTCTACCTTTCTTTAATACGCATGACCAAACTCAAACTCCTTTTTCTGGTTTCTAATCGGACCATGGAGCTGAGTTCGGATGTGCAAAAACTATGGTTCTAGGCTTTTTTGGTTGTGCAAACTCACTCAAATTTCGCTTTCCCACATGGTTTTTCCCCTCTGCACATCTTGAATTTGAGTTTTATGCATGTCCATGACTTCACTTTAATATACCTATCTTATTAGCACCTTGTTATCAATTTGAGTGGCGATAATTAAGCTTAGTCTTTTGATGCACATGAGTTTCTCTGCTATGCTGTAACAAGTCAAGGATAGTACTGTGTAAATGATAAACAGAGCTCTTTGTTTTTGATCTCTAGTTTTCTTCTTGTTCATTCCTCAATATTTTTTCAGTTTTGCCTCCTTTATGTATCCCCATCATCAAAATCCTGTCGTAGACCAAGGAACAACTAAGTACTCACCTTCATGTTAGCATGTTGTTAGACTCTTCCTTTAGCTGTCGTAATAGAGAATAATTCTTGTATCTGACAACTTCGCAGTCCATTCTCAATTGAGTTCAAGGTCTCCATTGTCATCAACTTTCAGTCAGAGCTTAGCAAACTGCACCCCAAATCTGATCCCAGAACGCCAAGACTGTGGGTAAGTTTGTACATTACGGCTATCCCCATGACATACAACCCTTTCCTGCATATCACTACTACTGTTTTTCTAATGTACTCAAATGTGCAGCTTGCAATGGAAACATTGCCACTTGAATTAGTTCGGACCAGGTGAAAGATTGATTGGCAACTCGCCTTTTCTCTCTCTACACTTCTAGGAATGCAGTGAAAGATGGTCGGTAAATCAGGAAAATTATCGTGTTAATTAATCAGCAGTATCCATGTTCAGAATTATGTTGTATCCTTCATTTGGCAGTCACTGGCCATATAGAGCTTAAAGATGTTGGCGTTGTGTATATTGATCAGGAACATGCTGTCGGAATTCTTTGTTTTATTTGATACATTACACAAAGAACATGATGAATTGATGAGTAGTGAAGTGCTCATATGCTTATTTCGATTATTGATTGAAATCGTATATTTCATTGAACTATTGAAGAACTGAAATCATATACTTCCTCCGTTCTTTATTATTTGACATGCTTTGACTTTTAGGCCCTGTTCTCTTCACCTTAAAAAAATAATATTAAGTAAAAATAATTTCAGTTCAGTAAAAATAAATTCAGTTCAGTTATTAATTTCAGTTCAGTAAAAAGAATTTTAGTTCAGTAAAAATAAGTTCAGTTCAGTAAAATTCAATTTTCTTAAAGAAGAATTATAATAGAAAATCAGTAAAAATAATTTAAGTTCAGTAAAAATAATTTCAGTTCAGTAAAATTAAGTTTAGTTCAGTAAAAATAAGTTTAGTTCAGTAAAAATAATTTCAGTTCAGCAAAATTAAGGCGAATCAAACAGGGCCTTACACTATTCACCATCCTTTGACCGTCTTTTGTGAATAATATGTAAGGAAAAATATATTCATGTATGATTTTTTGGATTCATCTCAATAAGTATTATCATAATATATAACTTTTATAATTTTTACTTATGGAGAATTTAAGTTATTGATTTAAAGTTGATTTAAAGTTTTGCATTGGCAAGTGTGATAAAAAAAATAAGTCAAGTAAAAAAGAATAGAGGAAGTTGAAATAGCATGTTTCAGTTGTTTCCTAAAATACGTCAACTAATTTCAAATGAAAAACTGAAATCATATATTACATTGAACTATGAAAGTAGAATGTTTCCTAAATTAAAAATACTCGTAGATATTTGGATTATTTATTATAAATAAATAAAATAAAATAAAAACTACAAGACTACGTATCCTGCAAGTAGCACAATTTCTAACATATCTAAACATAGACTATATTTTTTTTTTAAAAAAAGAAGACTATACTTTCCTAAGATAAGTAAATGATCAAGATTATTTTTTTTTTTATGAAAAAATAGCTATATATATCAGAATTGCCTTGCCTTTTCTTTCACTTTTCAATTCTTTTTCATACACTACCTCAAAATATTCAAACGTTGAATTTTACCGTGCCTTGCTCCCAAAACCTTCACGAGTACCCTAATTCTCTTGAATCTTAAATCTCTCATTCATGGCTTCTTCGAGCGAACGTTACAACATCATCTACCTCGCTAAGCTAGCCGGCCAAGCCGAACGCTATGATGGTATGTTCTAACTCGTCACTTTCAATTCTTTCACGTAGGATAATTTCAGCAACACTCCGTTTACATTACATACGTAATCTTTGACTAGTTTTTGTGATTTCAATAATTCAATATAATGTGTATGTTACGAAAATTAATATTATTACTTTATTATGGTTAATCTTTTTAGTATATGTCAATTAAAAATTACATCAACGTACTAAACAATAATTATTGTTCTAGGATATTTAATTATTTATGATATACAACTTAAGTTGTGCGTTATTGTATGTCAAGCATAAAACAACTAAAATAGAATCAATTTAATGATTTCATATCTAAAATTTTGCAGATATGATAGATGCAATGAAGAAGTTGGTAAAATTTAACATCGATTTAACAGCCGAAGAGCGTAATCTCCTTTCAATGGCGTACAAGAAACTTACCGAGCCAAAGAGAGAATCATGGAAACTTCTCTCAACAACTGAGCAGGAGGAGGATACAGTATACAAAAACGAGATGTACATCAAGTGTATTCAAGATTATCGTAATATAGTCGAGTCGGATCTTGTTGAGATTTGCTACGACGCTATAACTCTAATTGATGACCACCTCCTTCCTTTCGCGTCTAGCACTGAATCCTCCGTCTTTTACTTAAAGATGTGAGTATAATTTTAAAGTAATTTGCATATTATTAATAGTGATACTTAGTTAATTAAGTCTTTTAGCAATTACTCCTTACTTTATTGGATTTTTTTTTTTTTTTTTTTTTTTGACGAGAATTTATTGGGTATTATTATTCTTTATTCTTTTACTTAAAGAGTTGGTTGGTTTAATTAACGAAGAGCTACGTGATGCAGGAAAGCGGATCATTACCGATATATAGCCGAAATCAAAACTGGTGATGCAAAATCATTAATCGCCGAAGAGGCATTGAGGACCTATAAGGTATATATATTTGCGTCGTAAAAATATATACTTGTATCATTATTATTTTATAGTTATTGGAAAATAATGATTTTATGTTGGATTAACTTTTCAAAAATTATATTAGTATCGTAGAATTTAGTCTATTTTATAATGTGAAAAATTGAACTCATCATATTATTTATCATTAAAATAAGGAAAATTTGCGAGGAAGGTTCTTTTATGAGGTCGACCTTGTGTGGAAGGTCCTTTTATGAAAAAGGTGGTACGAAAGGTCCTTATATAAACATTGGGTTGTGAGGAGGGTCCTTTGACCAAATTCCGGCGTTGACCAATTTTTTCCGGCCAAAAATAATTACGTGATGTGCACGTGACCACTTAAATGAGGTTTTTTTTTTTCCTTTTTCCCTCTTTTCCCCTGATTTCCCTTTCCCCCTTTAAATTAAGCTCGGAAACAACAATTACAATTAGAATTATGGTTGTTAATTGTTATGGTGTTTGATTTCACCAAAACCAGAACCGGCCACCTACGAAAACCACCCATTAAAACCCACACCTCAAACATCCACCACCTAAAAAACCTCATTTAAGTGGTCACGTGCACATCACGTGATTATTTTTGGCTGGAAAATGTTGGTCAACGCCGGAATTTAGTCAAAGGACCCTCCTCGCAACCCAATGTTCATATAAGGACCTTTCGTGCCACCTTTTTCATAAAAGGACCTTCCACACAAGGTCGACCTCATAAAAGGACCTTCCACACAAATTTTCCTAAAAATAATATGGTAGTCATATTTCAAATGACTACTACAGAATTAACCATTATTGATATATTTTTTTTTATATCATTCGATTTTCTTTTTCGTTTTATAAGTGAATAATTGCAATTAATTAAATTTTGTTGTAGGAAGCATTGACCATAGCAGTGGCTCAATTTTCACCTATTCATTCAACACGCTTAGGCTTGGAATTAAATTTTGCTGTTTTTCACTATGAGGTTTCAAATTCTTATCAAAGGTAATTGCATAATAACTTTATAACCTTTACAATTTCTCTATGATCATGTTTGTTATAATTGCATTGTTACTTATACGTATATTTTTTTTAATATATATTTTAGGGCATATCATTTGGCAAAAGAAGCTTTTGAAGAGGCTATGTTGGAGTTGGATGATTTAGGCAGCAGGGCTCTCTCGAAAGATAGCAAGGTTATCCTCAATCTTTTGAGTGATAACATTACACTATGGAAGGGCGAGAATGGTGAAAGGAACCTTTGAAGCATTAAAAAACATTTGAAATATTTTATTTTTGTAAAACAGAAACATTTATTTTGTATCACAATAGCTTGATAATAATATTTGAAATATCTCTGATTTTATTTTATGTATTTATATAAAGAAAAGTGTCATCATCACTTGATTAAAATTTATTTTGAAGACTTCAAAAAAAAAAAAAAAAGAATATCTAATGTAATGACTACATATATGTTAGAGTTTCTAATGTATAATTTACCTAAATAAATAAATATCTTAGAAAAGTATAGACTTACAATCTTAGATAAGCTAGTTAGAACAATCCAGATTCTAGAGTATTGTAGCTTATTACTAATGTTAGAAGAATCACTATTTGGTACAAATTTCATAGTATGTACAAGTGAGTCATTTACTCATTTGTTGATTAATAATAAAGCACTATTTGGTACAAATTTCATAGTATGTACAAGTGAGTCATTTACTCATTTGTTGATTAATAATAAAGCATTGTTTTGTTATACTTGAATTCAATACCTAGGGCCTGTTCTGATTTACTAAAAACAATTGAACTAAATTGATTGGAGTTGAAGTGAACTGAATTGAATAAAGCTAAAATGAATTGTTTATGAGAGAAAGAAATTAGGAAGTGAACTAACTAAATTGTAATTAAGCTGAAGAGAACAAGTCAGCCCTCCTAAGACTCAAACTGTCATTTTATACCCCTTTGTTTTTTTAAATGCATAAGTTTGACTTTTGTACTATTCACCTGTCATGTTTGACTTAATTTTTTTGCTATTATAAAATAAATAATACATCATTAGATTTGTCAACATGTCTATTTTCATGTTATAAATTTGTTACAATTTTTATGAATATATAGGTAAATATATTAATGGTCAAAGTTGTGTTTCGACAAATATACTAGTGAAAGTGATGCATTAAAAGGAAAAAAAAAGCAAGGAATGAAGTACTTAACTATTCCATTATCACTCTATCTATGACTTTTATGTATGTGAAACCGATCAATTTCGGAGTGCTATTCCATAGTCCATAGTCCATACCATACGTCCATACTCACTAGGGATTTTTGACTTTTGACTTGAGTTTAGAAATAACTCAAACAAGGGTTCGTTTGGGTGCAGAAGTGCTTACACATACTCTTTTTGTCTTTTCGTTCTTTCAAAATTCACACCCAAGTCAAAATTCATTCAACGCCAAAACATGGAAAAATTGAAGAGAATAGTGAGCGAAATTGCTTATTCCCATGATTTTCCCAAACTCCCTCTACTTCATCGCTCCTTTATCCCTCTCCTTTCCATGCTTTCTTCTCTCTATTACCTCTCTGTTACTACCAGCCATCATCTTTACTTTCTGGGTATCTTCCGCAAGAAACGGTAAAATTTTCTATCTTTTGGGTAAATTTTCAATTTATTTTCTGTAATTTTGACTTTAATATCAATAATTTCAAATGGGTATATTGAATATTTGATTAATTAATAATGTTTGTTGTTTAATTTTGATTTTGAATGTAAATTTGAAGGTTGCCAGTGCCAGTTATCAGTGTTGGGAATTTGACATGGGGTGGAAATGGGAAGACTCCAATGGTTGAGTTTCTTAGTAATTGGTTTTCTAATTCTGGGATTTCTCCTCTCATTCTTTCCAGGGTAATCTTTTACTTTTATTTATTTTCTGTCTTTTCTTTGAATCCTATTTTCCTATTCAATTGAATACTGCATTACTGTTGTGAGCTATGTTACTTGGAATCAGGAACTCGTTTGAGGCACGGGGTAGTCGGGTACGTGTTCAAGTGTCTAACTTGGCTATTTAGCGATTTTATCAGGATTGTAGTTCAAAATGGAGTGTGCAAGTGTTCTTACTCATGTGAGAGAGTGTCATTGTGTTAAGGATTCGACATGGGTACTAAATTAAATGGAAGAGCCTAAGTGACATTAGGCTGTGGGACTGGTGCAAAAATCATAGGACCTTATAAATTAGTATTCTTGGACCTTGTAGATTGATTGGAAAATTAATTAAAGAGAGAACTTTACCATGCATTATCTGTAATATTTGATTAGTTGCAAAATTTGATGATAACTAATTTGGGGATTGTATATTAGAAATTATAGTTGAGAATAAATTAAAAACCGCCGAACAAAGATATTCTGTTCTTCTCAGCTGACATGCTTCAGCTTCGAGAAGAAAGTGAAACAGTTTTGTTTTGAAATACTATGATGAGTAGGATTAGATTGAGATGCTACATCATCACCATTTATATTAATCACTGTAATGGCTTTAGTAAAACTCTGAACAAACTTGCTGAAATGTTGTAGCTTTCTCTAGCAAAATCTGGCTGCATTGTAAATATAGTGCACGCTATATAAAGTTCACTTTGGACCCTATCTAGACTATAAATATTGTGCACATTATATAAAGTTGGCTTGCCATATTTTGATATACCTACTTGTATGAGTTTAATGGTATACGACTGTACATTGATCTTCCTGAAGGCGCTGAACCATATGAGCTAACTATTTGAGTCAGTTATGCATGCTTGGTAGAACCGATATTGAAACGAGATTCTGCTTTAACTTTACCAGGAATCCTTACCCTTGCATAAATTTTTGGAAACAGGGCTATGCTGGAGGGGATGAAGTTAAAATGCTTGAAAGGCATCTTTTGGGGACATCTGCAAAGGTTGGCGTTGGTGCAAATAGAGCTTTGTCTGCTACTTTGTTTCTTGAAAAATATGGCTACACAGATTCTCGTGTGAATGGTTTCTTTGAGAACTTACTCTTGGTGAACAAAGTTGGTACTAATGTCCCTTCAGACAAAATTGGTGTTGCTATTCTTGATGATGGAATGCAGGTTTTCTTTGTTCTAATTATGCTAATTTTTTTCTGCATATGCCTGTGTACCTACACTTTTGCTTTTCACAATCTTCCAATATTTTTTGGATAATGGTTTTTTTGCAATGGAACTTCATATTTCTTCTTTTATTTATCTTGTAATTTAATTTGACTTTGCATGGCAGACAGCATGTGTGCTTGGTACGTGACTTGGATATTGTAATGGTAAATGGAATGATGCCATGGGGGAATAATGAATTGATCCCCCTTGGACCTTTGCGGGAACCATTGTCTTCCCTGGCTAGAGCAGATATTGTTGTGATCCATCATGCTGATCTGGTATGTCAGATCAACCTTCCAATTCTTTACATTCATCAGTGTTTTCACTCATAATTGTCATTTAATATGCCAATTGTCTGCACATTGAAGAAGTATGCCATAATATGCAGGTTTCAGAGCAAAAGCTTATTCATCTGAGACTTGGGATTCAAGAGATTAAAAACTCTCTACCTGTTTTCTTCAGTAGTATGGTTCCTTCGCACTTCTTCACTGTTTACGATGTTGGCACTAAATTACCATTGTCGGCAGTAAAAAACCGGGTCTTACTATGCCTCTCTGCTATTGGTTCTCCAAATGGTTTCGTCAAGTGTGTTGAGAAGGTATCACCTTTTCTATTTCAAGTGTCCGTCCACCCATGCTTTTAGTTTATGAATTAGCCTTTTGATTTTCTTGTTCCATTTTACACTGCCCTTGTTTTCTTGCTCCCTTTGTTGTCTCTTGTTTTCTTCCGCTTTTATTTTGTCACTTTTCTTTGTTTAGTTTCTTTAACTTATCCCTTGACCTTTTCAGTTTCACTTTTCTCGGATAGTTTCCTTACAACAATCCATGTTAGCCAGCCCCAAATCATTATGGGATCAAAACTTTGAATTTGTTGTTTCCTTATAAAAGCTGTGCTTTCCACTCCATACCTTCCCCATATCTTGATTATAACTGTATTATGACTTTTATTGCTGCAGCTTGGACCATCATATGTTGATCAGCTTCACTACAGTGATCATTACTTGTTTCATTCCAAGGTGCAGTTTCTTTTATATCTATCAGTTATCTGCTGGGACAATAGTATTAAATTTTTAGTTTGCATGTAGGCTTGCACAACCCTTTTCATCATGACATCGTTTTATGCCCTCGTTTATGTGCATTTTGTTTGCCTCGAGGACTCGAGGTCTAATTAATTGTATTTGTATCCTCTATATGTACAGGATATCTATGTGATGACAAGGAAACTTGAGGAGCTCTATCACAAATTTGGTTCCAGACCTATTGTTGTCACAACTGAAAAGGTGAGTGTGCTGTAGGCAGTGTCTGTAGCTTTATGAGACAAACATGATAACATCCTTTCTTGGATTTGGATTGATTTATGCTGTTACTGTAAAAAATTTGGTCAGTTTTACTATATACTCCAGTGAAAAATAGGTGTTGTTTTAGGCTATTTTTCTTTAGTGAACATAACTGCCGTTTGAATTTATATTTTACCTTTTAAAATCTCAATTGAGATCATCAAAAGATCTGTAAAGATGTACTTCGTATATAATACTCTGTAATAAGGGCATATTTGATATCAATTCCAGGAACTATCTCCATTTTATATATTTCAATCCACATTTTTTATGAGAATACCTAAAATGACCAAGTACATTTGGCTTGTACAAGTACATCTTACCATGATATTTGGCATGAATGCTTCTATACCCAACTAACCCAAGTATATCTCCCTTTGCTGTATGCATTAAGCCATTAGAATCTGAAATAGTATTATCTTGCATATCTGACCTGATTGAGGTGTTTGTATGGACATTACCATGACACATATCTGAGACTTATCTTTATCAATTGTTAGCATAAACAATGGAGCAATAGATCCATGTAATTCTGACCTGATTGAGCTGCTTTTCTGGCACTTTTGTTTAAGCAGGACTATGACCGGGATTCTGAAATTCTCTCACAGTTACATCCTTTCGATGTTCTTGTACTCTGTTCTCAGCTACAATTGGTCTCTTATAGTGGAAGCTCGGAGAACAAATTCAAGGAACTATTAAAGCAACTCTTGGATTCAAGATCAGGGAGACTTAAAAAGAAGTGAATAACAAAGAGCTTTGTTAATCAATGACGGTCTGAGCTATGTTTAGAAGTGTAGAAGCATTAAATGGAATTGGTATAATCCATGTAACTTCATGCCCTTCCTCTCTACTCTTAATATACAGAGTTCACATTATCTTTCTTTCTTTTAAGTACAAAACTGAAGCTTTAATCCCTTAAGGATGGGGTCAGCATTTAGAGCACTTTTTTTAGTATATCAAGGAATGTTGGGAAGTTTTTATAATGATAAAATTTTCTCAATACTTTGAGTATTAATTTGTCATTATTTTTGTGGTACTACACGTCTACACACAAATGCAAGAATTGTTTCAATTACCTCTGATTGTAAATCTTGCTTTTCATAGTTAATCAAGCTGAAATACTCCATTCTAAAAAATTACAATCAAAACTGCATGGTATTGTACAAAACACATTTTTTTTTTGTTTATGCTATATATGCTGTATATCTAGCCTTTCTCCATGTTTTTGTTGCAAGTAAATGCATCAATGACAAAATCATCATACATTTATTACTGAGCATCGGGGATACAACTTCTTCAACCTAAGCAGAGCCAAAATACGGCAAATCATTGGTGGGTTGACACAGATTGGTTTATGTGTTCCTGTTGCATGACTTGCAGAAGATTGAATGTTTGGATTTTCCTTATCGTCATTGCAGCTACGTATCTCAGGTATCTCAGGTTGAGCTGTTTCCTTTTTTGCAGAATCTATAATCTCCGGTTGATTGCTCGTTGGCTTCACGGAACCTCTTCTTTCCATCGGCTTGCAAACTTCACCATTGCACTCAATATCCTTTTCCGGGTGGATGGCGTTTTCTTGTTTCGACGTAAAGCCAAAGAGACTCAGAAATGCAGGCATATTTCTTTTCTCTTTGTTTATTTTCACATTCTCCCCGTGATGATTGCAGGTTAGTAATTCACTTGTCCAATAATTAATTTGAAAGATATTAAAGATGTTACCAATGATTATTCAAAGGGACAATTCTTTTCTTTTCAATTGTTTTGAGATGAGAATAATAATCTCTTCTATAATTAATTTGAAAGATATCAAAGATGTTACCTATGTTTATTCCATTCAAGGGGGCAATATTTTGTTTTCAATTGTTTTGAGATGAGAATAATAATCTCCCCTAATCCCGGGGGATTAATTATCCTCGTAGATATATAGTCACCAATCTGCATTATAATTTTAGATTAAATTTCCTGTTTCCTGAATATATTTATGTGGTTATTTTCATCTTATAGTTTTTATATAGCTTAAAGTTGGATTAATTCTCCACGTTACTAGGAATACATATGTACACAGCTGTGAGCTGTACATCTTATCTTCCTTTTATTTTGAGCAAGGAGAAGGCCATCATAGAAGGGGAAAGTGGCATTTTCGGGAAATCCTTCCTAAAACGAGTTTGGTAATGATATTAGACCCTTGGCCTCACCTCACGCCCGTAGACTGTAGTGAAAAGCTAGCCAACTACTCTGTCTTCCTATCTTGAGTTATAAATCCTCCTTAAATAAGAGTAATTTGTTTGTTATAGTTGTTGAAATTACCAGTTTATTAGTTCACCAATTTGCAACCATAAACCCACCTACCATTAAGGCAACAAGCTCAACATATTCTATATATTTGCCTGTTAATTAATTATACTCTTCATTTTCTTAAATGAAATGCATGTTCACCAGTTAATCATAAATACTCTCTTTATTTCTATAAGTTAAATTACCCCCCCCCTTTTGTCTGTATTTCTATACATTAGTCTTTTTTTTTAGTCATGCCTACCTGTAACCTTAAGCAAAGAACATAAAATCTAAATATACAGTACAAGAATTGAAGGTCAATAAGAGCGCAAGGCTAGATAGTAGATACTAGGCTCAATTTATAACTAAAATAAGTTCTAACAAGTTTAGATTAGTGAAAATTAGATTAATAAATAGCACCCGTATTAGTTAACATATGTTTCCATATTGAGAGTCACTATTGTATTCATTTAAGGATCCATCATGTGAATATTTTCCTTGAATGAAGCAATCTAGATATACCTTGACAATGAATTTTTCTGGTGCATGGAATATTTTTTTATTGAAGAATAATAAATGTTAAGAACATGTACATGAGACATTTTTAATAAAATTACACATAAATTCATTACATTATTTCGTTAATCTATGATCAACTGTCTACACACAACTGACCCGTATATTCAACTCTAGAGTGACCACCTATTCATGTGATGAAGGGCCTTTCTTGTTAGCTTGAATGAAGAGAAACAAACAGCTTATCGCTCTATCAACCTTTTCTTGTTGAAAGAAAATTGAGGGAAAAGAGAGGGCTAAGCTTATCCTTCTTCTCAAAACTTCGTCTCTCACTCAATGTGCAAACATCACCATTACATACGTACTTTTTCGAGCTCGTTGGCTCAGTGAAACAACTGAAGAAATTGAAGAACGAAGCCATGAGTTTGTAACTTGGCTTTTCCTGTGTTTTTCTTGTTTGTTGTATGTTTTGCATGTGAATGAAATTCATATGATTTTATAGCATACATAATTTGACCGTGTTATTGCGGTTTGTTAGCGTTAAACTAGTCAAGTTGTTTCACGTGGAATTTATTAAAAACAATAAAGAAGTTGCAGTCAATGTAAAATGGCCCTACTTTAGCTGGCTTTTTTTAATTTTATATTTTTGTGTTTATACAAATAGCCACGACAAATTGTTCATAGTATTCAATTTGAGTAGTTCATATGTTGGTATGTTGTGGTGATGAATTTGTGATAGGGATTTGGATATTCTTGGGTAGGGTCTTTGTTATAAATTTGTTTTCACATTTAAAATATCAAAGTAAAATCAAAACTATATTATAATTAGTCAATTTTGTTAAAATGAATGGTGGAATATTGTTGATTTTTATCAAGTAATCCCATCATAGCTTTCCTAATAAATTAAGCATCAAGACCGATAACGTATTGAACACATTTTGCACAAAAACATCCATGGCATAATAATTATAAATGAATATTATAATGTTTACAAAGATTTGATTACGTATGTTTGCTTTCTCATTTGCGAAAAAAAATAAAATACGAAGAATGAAGTATTAGAAGGTTTGTTAAGTTTAGTCAATTTTGTAAAAAGGAAAGTTCTTTATATTTATATAATAATTCCATCATCGCTTGTCTAATCATTTAGACCGATGATGATAATGTATTGCATATACTTTGCACAAAAACACCCTCACCATATTAAATATTGGATGGTTTGTGTTGATAACAAATAGTTGTACGTATTAGATATCAAATTGACCAGACGGACTCAATTCCTAATTTTCCTCATCATTTGTTGTGCTTTTCCAACTAAAAAGAGGCTCGTGCATAGTCCACAACTCCACAACCTAAAAAAACGTAATGCCCAAGCCGTGTCTACCTCATGCCTTAGCCTTGTCGCGCTCTATGCCCCTAAATGTTGTAAACATGTAGGTTGGCCTAGCCAAGTCCCAAGTCCCATCTTCCAAATTTGTGTGATTTACCAATCTACTAGTAAAAGAATAGACGGGCCTAGATTCATGATCCATGAACTTCAATCATACATTACCTTTCCAAAAGAATATTCTTGAATAATCCTCTGCTCTTCTTTGTACACAACCTTCCATGGCAGAATCTAAGCAACCCATTAAACAATTCAAAATAATCCACTCCAATTTTAACTTACATCAACTGTTTTAAAAGATAGAGAAAGAAACATGGCAATGTCATTAACTTCCTTTTTGTGCTCTATTCCCCCAACATCTTGCTCCCATTATTTTAAACTCAAAGGTAAAGTTTTTATTTTTTAAAACTTCTTTCCAATTTCAACATTTTCCCATTTAATTTTGCAAAATTTCATCAAATTATTATAATATGGTACATTTCCAATCATATTAGGAGCTCAATTGGTGAATAAATTTCAGCCCATAAATTTTTCAGTTGTACAATCAAAGGCCATCATTTCTTACCCAATCCAAGCAGCTTCTTTTTCTGCAACTCACGGTAATTTCTCTTAATTGAATTTTTCTACATATTTTCCCATTTTACTAGTAATTCTTCTTGTAATTAATTTCAATTGATCGTCTTTTGTGGGTATTTTTTTTTTTTATATTTTGATGGGTGGCAGAAAGTGTAAATTGTAAATTGATTGATGAGGAAGAGGATTATGAAGAATTGGCAAGAGAATTGGAAAATGCCCCCCCTCTTAAAATTATGGATAAAGCCCTTGAGAAATTTGGTAATGATATTGCCATTGCTTTCAGGTATGACCGCATTTATTTACCAATGAGTGTAATTTTATTGTTGATTTAGCAACTATATATGACTATATGCTACTAAGACTTTGGTTGGTTGGGTACTCGTGTCGGATATGGGTACATGTCGAGTTGAGCGGGTTGTGGGTATAATATCTTGTGAAACATTTCCATGATAGGTCCAAAAAGGAAATGGTGATTTGTATAGGATATGAAAATACTTGAATGTTGAATGGTAATTGGTAATGATGTGTATTAATAACATAGTTATTCAGTTGATTCAATGATTAAGTTTGGCTTAGTTGTCCATTAATGGTTTTCTAATACAGTGATTTTTGGTAAGTTTGTGGGAACTAAAGCTCAAAATAATTAAATCTTACTTGGCGAGTAATCTCTCATTAAAAGGTAGTAATTTCTTGAGCTAATTTTTGTGTGTTTAGGATCTGAAACTATGTGAATGCAGCTGAAGATCAAATGAAAATGAGGTACTAGAGCTGGCAACTAGGATGTGTGACATTTGCAGTTGTTCACAGTCCTGTATTAAGAAAGTTTGCTTACTTGATTAAAGATCTTGCTAGTTGCTACATTGATTATTTGCGCGAATAATAAAGTGCAAAGTAATTAATTAACCATAAGAAATGTGGTTTTGATGCTAATGGGGATAAAATTTGCTGACTATTATGCAGTGGAGCTGAGGATGTAGCCTTGATTGAGTATGCTCGGCTAAATGGCCGACCCTTTAGGGTGTTCAGCCTAGACACTGGAAGATTAAACCCTGAAACATACCGATTCTTTGACACTGTTGAAAAGCGCTATGGCATTCACATTGAGTACATGTTCCCTGATGCTGTTGATGTTCAACAACTAGTTAGAAGCAAGGGTTTATTCTCATTTTATGAAGATGGGCACCAAGAATGTTGTAGAGTAAGGAAAGTAAAACCTTTAGGAAGAGCTCTTAAAGAACTTAAGGCTTGGATTACTGGTCAAAGGAAGGATCAATCTCCAGGGACGCGGGCATATATCCCTGTCGTGCAAATTGACCCTTCATTCGAGGGAATGGGACCTTCCTCTAGATTAGTCAAATGGAACCCTTTGGCTAATGTAGAAGGTCGAGATGTTTGGAACTTTTTACGGGCCATGGAGGTTCCTGTCAATCCTCTGCACTCACAGGGTTATGTCTCGATTGGATGTGAACCGTGCACAAGACCTGTCTTGCCTTGGCAACATGAAAGGGAGGGAAGGTGGTGGTGGGAGGATGCTAAGGCTAAAGAGTGTGGTCTTCACAATGGAAACCTTAATGACAAAAAGGTCAGGCCAATAGACTTAAACAATAATATAAATGGTGTTTTTGCTGACATTTTTGATAGTCCAAATGTAGTTTCCCTGAGTAGAGACAGGATAGAAAATCTGGTCCAATTGGAGAACCGAAGAGAGCCTTGGATTGTTGTGCTATATGCTCCTTGGTGACCGGGTTTGCCAGGTAAATCTGTACTTTCACTATAACATTTGAGAGCAAATTTTGCTAACATAGACCTCTAATGCAGAGTATTTTATAGCTGTATCATATTAGAAAGAATCGTAGAATAATTATGATTGCTAAAAAGAAATCTAGCCTAGCAAAAATGTTCTCATAAAAAGTGTTGTACTCCCCATTCTCGACTCTTGTATATAAATGTGCTGATTGAGACTACTGGGTTTCTGCATAGGCAATGGAAGGCTCGTTTGTTGAATTGGCTGAAAGATTGGTTGGGAGTGGCCTCAAGGTGGGTAAATTCAGAGCAGACGGCGATCAGAAGCTGTTTGCTGAGACTGAGTTACAGCTTGAGACCTTTCCAACTCTGCTTTTCTTCCCTAAACATTCAACTAAGCCTGTCAAATATCCGTCTGAGAAACGTGATGTTGACTCACTGATGGCGTTTGTAAATGCTTTGCGCTAGCCTGTTTGGGGGGTGTGAAATCATAGATAGAACTGAGGCTGAAGTGAACATTAAGGCCAAGAGTCATTCATTTGACAACCCATTTCCTGTTAGTAGGGGTGTTAAATCAAAGTTTTGAACAGAGGCTGAAGTGACCAAAAGCCGAAAATCATTTCGTTCGACAATGCCCACTATTTTGTGTAGCATCATAAGCCATATTTGGTGTGAGTGTCCTTGATGTGATAGAGTCAAAAAATGGGAAATTTGGTGGTGTTTGTAGAAATATGCAAACTTCTTAGCAAATTGTGGGGCATATCTTAGGCTGCATATTGTGAAAACAAGTTCATATCCACATATAGCTGGACAAAAAATAGTATATGTTGATAGTGTTGTTTTTTGGAGGCTAGATTTATAAGGGCTTCTTTGATTAATTATTGTTAATATTGTAGCATTTGATGTCAAATATAAATAACAATTGTACTAGATATTAATAATACTCCATACTTGTATAATTTATTTGTTTTTGTAAACATTAACAAAGGCTTAAGATTACCTCATTGTAAAAAAAAAGTAAGTCTTCTAAATTGAGCTTTACTAGATTCACTTTTTTCTAGTACAAATATTGATAGTCCCTTAACAAAGCTCATTCAAACTAAATTATTCATGGATTATTTATCAAAACTTGTACTTTGCAAGTTGTGCTAAGGTGAAGAAACCATGATGAAGTCCAAAACATTCTCCATAAATCTCATTGTACTGCATGAATATGAGTAAATTTTTCACATACAAATATAAGAGAAACAAGGAAAAAGAATCCCACCATTGTATATTATTTTATTTTATTTTTTTTTTAAAAAAAAAGATATAGCGTGAATTATTTAAATAAAACATAAAAATCCGTCAATATTGATGGGTGATGCCACTGATGCAATGTGAATGGCCAAGAATGAGCAAGTGAATAATATGAATTTAAAATTGATTGAAACTTTTGAAGATGTATATGGTGATCGATAGATACACAAGTGGAGTGCAAATATTTGTGCAATTTTGCAAAACAAAAGTGCAATAATGATAAGTCCCATTTGACAAGCAAATAATACTACGAGTACCTTCTGTTTCGGATGAAAACAATGGGGCCTTGCTGAAGGCCCGCTGAAGTGGCTGAAGACTGGTCCGGTCCAATTGATGTTGGGCCGAAGGTTTCCTGCACAACTAAAACACGTAAACTGGCCTCGGGGGTGGATTCGAGGAAAACCCCTCCGATGCCGAAGTCAAACAGTGTTTAGAGAGGAAAAGCTATGCAAGAGATTTAATGCTTGAGGCTTTGTTGTGTTGTTCTTTACAAATGAATGAATTGAAGGCTTTTATACCTTTGCACATGATGAGAGGAGAGCAATTGGGCCTTTAAATAGTCATGGGCTGACCATGGCAATTCGGACCAAAGGACTCTTGGCTGACGTGGATTGATTGGAGGCTCAGGCCTTGACCTTGGAATATGAAGTCATTTAGTGACCAGGCCCAGTAAGATAATTGGACCCAAATACATGACTAGGCCCAATTAGATAAATTGGACCCAAACAACTTGCCCCCCAGACCCGATTCGAAAGGATGACGGGTCGGGTTTGAATCCAATAAGAAATGGAGGGAAGTAAATGATTTAATTAAGTCAAAAGATTTAAATTTTTGAACAGTTATTAATTAAATAACTGTAATTTGGATAATTAACAGGAAGTGGAGTGGATAGTGGGCGGTTAATCAGGAGAGAGAGTGTTTAACGGTTAATTAAGGAGGCATTTAAGAGAAATTTGAACTTTTCGACCTTGGGGATTCTCCTTCCTGGAATTATAAGGTCTGATTCGCATTTCAACCTTATTTCTTCACCAACTTACACTCAAATTCTCGCACAAACCCATTTTCGCTCTGAATTTCCAGCGTACCATTTTCGAATCCAAGTTCGAGACTCAAATCCATCGCTTCCACTGATTTGACCGGCGTATTCCGGCCAATTTGAAGGTAATTTTCTCCGAGCTTTTTCGATTTTCTTGCCCTTTTTTAGGGAAATTCTTCTTTTCCCTTCTTTCCTTCTCTGAATTTGATTATGGCTCGAGAAAGGAGGCGTCAGCTGGGTCGACGGGGTCAGGCTAGGGATCCCCGTGACCGCGCCGATGTTTGGAACGGGGAACGAGCCGGTGAAGACCCGGAAAGGGGGATTCCGACAGTTCCTTTAAACGTCGCGCCGCCTCAGCAGGACGCCGAGGCCGGCGAGGCGGAGCAACCTGAGCAGAGAGAACAGGCTGGGCAGGCTGAAGATTTGCCCCCTGTGCTCTGGGACCTGCTTCCTGGGCATGCGGAATGGCAGGACGCCGAGGCCCAGAACGCCATGGTGAGAAATACCCCATACTCATGGTGGGTTCGGCATGCCGAAACCTACCGATTCGCCGAGAAAATTGAGTTGCACTACGGCATTTTTGAAGAGGATGGGCATTGGTGCCGAATGCCCTCGCCGAATGACAGGATTCACCGTCCCCCTCCTGGGTATGTAGGGGTGTACACTCGACAATTGCAATACGGGCTTCGGTTTCCTTTGGATCCCTTCGTCAAGGACATTTTAATAAAGTACAGGATCTCCCTGTGCCAATTAACACCCGTTAGCATTCGGCGGGTGATGACTTATCTCTGGGTGTGTCGTTTTTTTGCTGTTGAACCGAATTTGCACTGCTTCCAAAAGATGCATCAGCTAGTGCAGAACATCCAGAGCGTGTACGGCCAACACGGGTCTTCAGGCTGGTGGCGAATAGAGAGTCGCCCCCAATATCTGACTATGTGGCCGAACGACTCTTCGGATAAGGATTGGAGGGGTCAATGGGTCTGGTTGAGAGTTCCCGCTGATCCGGAGCATCCATATTTTTTCGGGGCTCCCCGATACCTCTCCAGGCCTGATCCGAACATGCAAGACTTGGGTCCTGAGGACCCTGATGCCACTAGCCACCCGAATTATGAGCAAATGAGCTTCTTTGGGAAGCAGAATAACCCCGGGGGAGTTGGCCGAATGAGAACTCTCCCGACCAGATGGCTTCCGGATAACCATTACATCTTGGAAGATGTTGGCAGTTGTCGGCCTCAGCCAAAAGTACAGGGGTGGTAAGTATGTTCGGCTGGGGCCGATGACTTTACCTTAATCAATTTTGATTTGTCTTTGATGCTTATTCCCTTAGTCTAACCTTCGTCTGTTCTTTTTAGAGCTGAGCGAAGCTACCTCGGGAATTGATTATAACCGGCTCGGGGTGAACGCTGAAAGGGTCATTCTAGACCGGGCTCCGGCAATCACAACTCCGAAGAATCGTCCGCTGCATCTGCACGAAACGGGTCTTCAAATTGAAGCCGCTGCCGAATACACCAAGCAGAAGCCTTGGTGGGAGAAGCGAGATCCCCTTCGGCCTTTATTACCCGAGGAAGCACAGGCTGCTTAGACAGCAGCTAACGTGTCCCGAGAAATCAACTCCTTAGAAGGAGGTGTTGGGACGTCTGGTGCTGCTGAGGGGGTTATCCCTGCACCTGGAGTTCAGCCGAGGGTTCCAGTAAGTTCCTGACTTGCTTGGTTTTTTTTTTTTACTCATACTTTGCTGCCCCCCCCCCTTTCTGCAGTCTGAGGAAGGGAGCGGAAGAAGAGAAGGAAAGGCGCCTGCTCGTTCTGAAGATCCATCTTCTTCAGAATCTGAAGAAATGGACGAGCAGCCCTTAGCAAAGAGAAGGAGGAGGTTGGCCGTGCTGGGCCTCGGCAGTTTCAGATGGGGATGAGTCCTACCGGGGGCATCCTCATACGGGAGCCTGATGAAGGTAGACGCTCGCCGAGGGTTCCCCCTCCGCCGGAAGCATCGCGTCCTCAAACCCCCCCTCCACCTCCCGAAACTCGAGAGATGGAGGTGGACCAAAGAACTCCTGATCCGAAGGGGGAGGGGGTTCAGGGACACCCTGCTGAAGAATCTGAGAAGCCGATTGCTGAAGGCTTCTCAGATGATATTGATAGGGAGGTTGACGGTTTTCTTCGTCAACCTGATCTGGGGGAGGAAGCAGAGAAGGTCGTTGCTGCTGACACTGGTGGAGACCAACTGGGCTCCGCCGAAGGAGAAGGTCATGCTGAGCCTGAGAAGATTCAGGAGGTTCCCTCTTCTTCTTTCCCCTCATTCCAGACGCTGAACTCTGGAGATTTGGGTTTCTCGGCTCCCCGTATCACAGTCCTTGAGCCTGTTTGGGAACGAATTTGGGGTCAGAACCGTGAAGGGGTTGCAGGCTACTTCGGCGACTTGACTAGCATGTCCGAAGTGGACCGAGCAAGGGTGTGGTCGCTGAAGGCCACGACTGGGATGGGAGAATCCAGCCGAAGGGTCCCTGACCCTGCAAGAGACAACCAGCGTTTGCTGATGCAGGTACTTAACCTTTTAGTTGCTTTGCTTTCACTCAGCTTTTCTCCTCCTTTCTGGCCTTTTCCCTTTTTTATTACTTTATTTATTACAACTGATGTGCCCCTGCAAACAGGTTGTGCACAATCAGACTCTTACTGTAGAGTTGATTGACACCCTCCAAGACAAGCTGGAGCATGCCTGGGAGGAGGCAAAAATTGCCCGGGAGGAGGCAAAGCTTGCTGAGCTGAAGCAGCAGGCTGCTGAAGAGAAGCAGCAGCAGAGCGAAGAGTATGAAAAGAGGGCTACTGAAGCCATTCAAACCTTCTGCTCGGCTATGGAGAAGGAAGTTTTTCCCCCGCTGATGGAAGGGGAGAAATTCCTTCAGGAGCAAATGGGAGTGGACATCTCCAAATTTAAAGCTGTCATCGAGATCCGAATTCAAGAAGGAGCTGCTGCACAAGTTGAAGTGCAGCGGAAGCTGGAAGCTCTTGAAGCCAGCAGGATGGCTGCTGAAGAGACTCTACAAGCTAAGGATGTTCACCTTTCTGCTGCCCAAGCTGCTGCTGAGAGCCAAGACCAGAAGCTGAAGGAGTTGGAAGATCAGCTGAGAGTCAAAGGAGATGAGCTGACCCAGGCCAAAACCGAAGCTTCCAACGTCCAGCTGGAGCTTAATGAGCAGAAGACTTCTTCCTCCAAACTCTCAGAAGAGTTAGAAAAATCTAAAAAGGATTCGGAGGAGAGTCAAAAGAAGTTGGCTGATGCTGAAGCCCTACTCCAAGTCCGCCTTTACACCCATGAAGAATATGAGATGGGCTTCATTAATGGGTTTAAGGTGGCTCGGAGGTTGGCTCTCCATGCCGAGCCTTCGCTGGATTGGTCCAAGTGTGCGCTTTGGGCTCAGGACCCCGAAGATCCGCACATGCTGTATGCCACTCCTGCTGAGCATGAGATCCTTCAGGCTGAACAAGCCGAGGAGGAAGCTGAGCGGCAGGAGTTGGAGGCTGAACAGCGAGCCGCTGAAGCTCAGGCAAGGGCCCAACCTGCCTCCTCTGCTGGTGGAACCGAGACTGCCCCGGGGCTTGGCCCGGCTGATCAGCCTGATCCTCCAACTGAAGCATAGGAAATCGGGCAGTCGTCTTCAGAATCTTGCGGATCAACATGCGCTTAACTTCAAACTCGCCGCTTTCTGAATCTCTTTTTTCCTTATCTTTTTGCTTCAGCTTGCCTTGATGTACAAATAATTTATTTTTGTTTCTGTACGTATTTCGGCAGCTGTTATTTTCCGCTTGTGGGCGGCTGCCGATATAGTCTTTAATTTATTTGAACTTATAGCTCACTTTCTGAGCATGAATCATTAATCTGATGTTCCTTTCTTCAACTGCTTTGCCTTATTTTGAGTGTTTTACTGTTTCTGAGCTTGAGAAATTCTCGCAAAAATTTGCTAAGTACAAAAGCTTTCGGCTTTGAAGAATTCTGCTGAACATAAACTTGCACTGGTTGCACTGGTAGTGCCTCTTTTAGTGCCTCTTGCCCCCCAGAAATCTGAAGATTCAAGTCTTCGGATTACTGAGCTGGGTTTTGTTTCTATATCTTTTAAAAATGGATATCCGAAACACAGGGCCAACTGAAGGTAATGCTTCGGATAATGGCTTTTTGGGATACAAGGCTTAGTTAAGGCAATATCCCAGACTTGTCCATGGACTCATGTCTTTGGAGAACAAGCCTTACTGGAGTTTGACTTCAGCTGAAAGACTAGTGTTCTTTAAAAAGACGAGTTTGTCAGCAATCTGAAGCCCAGTTACTCGGACGCAAAGGTTTCAGACGAGGCTGAATAAAAAAAAAAAAATTTCCAACAGTTGCTGTTATCCTTGATTTTCTGTCTATCTTTAAAAAATGGATATCCGAAATACAGGGCCAACTGAAGGCAATGTTTTGGATAATGACTTTCTGGGATACAAGGCTCAGTTAAGGCAATATCCCAGACTCGTCCATGGACTCATGTCTTTGGAGAACAAGTCTTACTGAAGTTTGACTTCAGCTGAAAGACCAGTGTTCTTTAAAAAGACGAGTTTGTCAGCAATCTGAAACCCAGTTACCCGGAGGCTAAGGTTTCAGACGAGGCTGAATAAAAACCCTTAAAGAGTAGATAGAACAAAGAAAACTTTGAAAGAATAAAAAGTTGCAAATATTTATATAATTGGTGGCTCCAAGGCCTTTCATTAATTCAAAATGTACTTACAAAGATTGTTCTGCCCCGAAGGGTTTACACATGATATTTCTTCAGTACATCAGCGTTCTAGTGATTTTTCAACTCAGTTCCATCCAACTGCCGAAGTCGGTATGTCCCTGGCTGAACCTCATCACAGATTTCGTAGGGCCCTTCCCATGCAGCTGAGAGTTTCCCATGGATTTGGCCTTTCTGAACTGCAGCAGCATTCCGAAGTACAAGGTCTCCAATTTTGAGAGGCCTTGCATGGACCCTTCGGTTGTAAAATTTGCTGATTCTCTGCTTATAAGCAGCCATTCTGTCTCGGAATCGAGAGATTCCTTCATCAGTTGCTCATTCTCAGCCGAGAAATGGTGCACTCGTAAACTCTCAGAGCCGATTTCCACTGGAAGAATGGCTTCGGCACCATACACCAGTTCAAAAGGTGAATAGCCCGTTGCCTCTTTTCAGTTGTCCGAAGGGACCAAAGGGTTCCTGGGAGCCCCTCCAGCCACTTGGACTTTTGATCTTCCACCATCTTTTTGAGGGCATTTAGGATCTGTTTATTTGCAGCTTCGGCTTGTCCGTTACTTTGCGGGTGGCATACCGCTGAATATGCCAGTTTGATGTCGAACTGATCTGTATACCGCTTCAGCGGTAAGTTATCGAATTGTCTCCCATGATCGAAGACAAATACTCTCGGGATGCCGAAACGAGTGATGATATTCTGCCAGATAAATTTTCTGACAGTTTGCTCTGTAATGTTCGAGGCTGCTTCGGCCTCAATCCATTTACTGAAGTAGTCAACACCGACTATCAGCCATTTTTTCTGGTACACAGCATCTGGAAATGGTCCCAGTATATCCAGTCCCCATTGGGCAAACGGAAGTGGATTAAGGATCGGCTGAAGATCCCTAGCTGGCTGATGGATAACTGGTGCGAATTTTTGACATTTTTCGCATTTCCGAACCAGCTCCTTAGCATCTGCGATCATGGTGGGCCAGTAATATCCGGCCCTCAATGCCTTGTGGGCTAAGGTCCTTCCCCCGATGTGGTGAATCTCCCGTAGGATATAATCTGCATCTATTGGTCCCACGCATTTCAGCAATGGGGCTGAGAAGGACTTTTTCAGAAGCTCCCCCTGAAGACAATGAACCTTGGACTGGTTCTCTTCAGCTTGGAAGCCAAAATTCTATCTTCGGGAATTTCTCCCCGAAGCTTGAAAGCTAGGATAGGGTCCATCCAGCTAGGCTCTGGGTCAGCGCAACACACTTCAGGTGCTTCGTCGACACTTCTTTCTCGACGCACTTCCACATATACAGATCTGTTTAGCTCAGTGAGAGTTGAACTGGCAAGTTTGGAGAGTGCATCGGCTTGAGTATTTTGACCCCTTGGGATCAGCTGAACCTCAAAAGTTCTCAGCTTTGCAATGACTGATTTGATCTTGGCAAGATAGGCTATCATGGAGGGCTCTTTGGCCTCGTAGCTGCCACTGATCTGATATGCAACTAGCTGAGAGTCTGTATTCAGGCAGACATGCTCGGCTTCCAGGGAGATGCACAATTCTAGGCCAGCGATTGCTGCCTCATATTCAGCTTCGTTGTTCGAAGCCTTAAAAGAAAATTTTAGTGTATACTCAAAGGATTTGCCTTCGGGAGAGGTTATCACTACCCCTGCCCCTGAACCATTTACGGTGGAGGATCCATCCGTAAACACGGTCCAGATTTTCCTTTCATTGTCTAGCGTCTCCTGGTACGAGCATTCGGCCAAGAAATCCGCTAGAGCTTGAGCCTTGATGGCAGCCCTCTTGGCCAGCCTACCAGATTTTTAAAATTTGTCGAGAACTTTTTCCAGCGGCTGATCAGTTAAGACCACTATCTGATGGCAATCAAAATAGGGCCTCAGCTTCCGAGCAGCTACCACTACCGCAAAAGCGACTTTCTCGAGTAGAGGGTAGCGAGTCTCGGCATCCGTCAGAGTGTGACTGACGAAATAGATCGGTTGCTGAATTTTGCTTTCTTCCTTCAGCAGCACTGCACTGATGGTGGCTAGGCTAACGGCCACATACAAATACAAAGTTTCTCCTTCTGCTGGGCGAGCTAGCGTTGGGAGTTGAGCCAGATGCTCCCGAAGCTGCTTGAGGGCTTCTTTTTGTTCTTCCTCCCAAACGAGCTATTTTGTTTTCGCGAGTTTCAGGGCTTTGAAGAAAGGTAACCCCTTATCCGAAGCTCTGGAAATGAACCTCGAGAGGGCTGCCATTCTTCCGGTGAGCCGCTGAACATCCCTCTTTGTTTTCGGCTCAGGAAGGTCGAGCGCTGCTTTGACTTTGGAGGGATTGGCATCAATCCCCCTCTTGCTGACCATGAACCCAAGGAATTTCCCTGACTTCACGCTGAAGACACACTTCTTCGGATTCAGCTTCATTTGATGCTTTCTTAAGGTGGAGAAGGTTTCAGCCAGGTCCTTAACATGGTCCTCAGATTTTTTGCTTTTGACGATCGAATCGTCAACATAGACTTCCATGTTTCGGCCCTTTTGATCGGCGAAAACTTGAGCCACCAGCCTTTGATAGGTTGCCCCCGCATTTTTCAATCCGAAGGGCATCATTTTATAATTTTACACCCTGGCGTTCGTGACGAATGCCGTCTTTGCTTGATCGTCGGGGTGCATGAAGATCTGATGATACCCCCAGAATGCGTCCATGAAACTAAGCAAGGCATGGCCACTTGTCGAATTGACTAGCTGATCGATCCTCGGCAAGGGATAGAAATCCTTCGGACAAGCCTTATTTAGGTCCGTGAAGTCAACGCACATCCTCCAGGTACCATTGGCCTTCTGAACCATCACCACATTTGCCAACCATTCTGGATATTGACAAGGCTCGATGAAGCCTGCCTCCAGCAACTTTTTGACCTCGGCTGCGATGTCTCGGTTCTTATTAGCGGAGTAATTCCGCTTCTTTTGCTTAATTAGTCGACACGTTGGGTCAACATTAAGCTTATGGGAGATGAGGTCTGGACTTATCCCGGGCATATCAGCTGCCGAGAAAGCAAACACATCTCTGTTGTCCTGAAGGAGCTGAATAAGTTCACAACGGGTGTTCGATTCAAGGTCTATCCCGATTGTTACACATTTCTCAGCGTCTCCTTCGGTCAACTCGATCGTTTCAGTCTACTGGTCCATATCCATTGCTGATGGACTGGACTCTTCACAATCTGGCCTGCTGTCTATGTCAGCAGGCGTCCCAGACTTTTTGTTCTTCGGATGGCTCTCTGAGTTTTTCGGCTCAGATGAAGAGCTAGCCTTTTCCCTTTCTGGCCCTTTTTCTCTGGGCACCTTGGGCCGAAGCACTTAGGCCTTTCGGCTTTTTTGTGATGGGCTCTCTTTCTTTTTCTTTCTCCTCCTCATCCTTGTCATCGTCATCTGGGCGACTAGTGGATGGCTTGAGGTAGTTGCACCTTCGGCGTCCTTTTGGCTGCCTTGGATCCTTTCGGGGAAGCCGGCGTCTGAGACGTAAATCATCAGCTGATGATAAGTTGAGACGACCCCTTGGATCTCGTGAATTATAGGTCTCCCCAAAATCACGTTGTACACTGAAGGAGTGTCAATGACTAAGAATTCAGTCATGACATTCCTGGCTGCCTCATCGCAACCGATGGTGACAGGAAGTGTCACCTTCCCATCTGGATAAGTTAAAGCCCCATTGAATCCGGATACCGGGTAGGGTACCGGCGTAAGGTGCTTGGGCTTCAGCTTGATTTGATTGTAGGCCTTTCGGAACGGAATGTTTGCTCCGCTGCCACCGTCAACAAGGACCTTGCTGACGTCGTGGTTGGCCACCGTGGTGATGATCACCAACGGATCCTCGTGAGGGAACGTTACCCCCCGACAATCGGCGGCTGTGAACGTCATGTTCGGCACCGGCGACTGGGGAGGCTGAATGTCAGCGTTGTTCACCTGGTGGGTCAGAGCCCTAAGGTGTCGCTTGTGTTCCCTCCGAGAGCATATTCCTCCCGAGATAACATTGATCGGAGAGGATGTTCCCTCCGCATTTTTACTGTTCTTCCGGGGGAAGTCGAGGTCTTGCCGAGGGTCCTTTGCTGACTTCTCGGCCTCCTTTTTCTCGCGGTGATCCGCGATGTATTTTTTCAAGTATCCCTTCCGCACCATATCCTTGATCTGGTCCTTCAGTTGGATACACTCCTCAGTGTTATGCCCTGGAGATTCGTGGAACTCGCACCACTGATTTTTATTTTTTCGCTGATACCACTCTGGGAGTGGTCTCGGCTTTCGGTAACTCTGCTCTTCCTTCGTCACGCTATAAATTTTGGCGCGTGGAAGAGAGAGTTGAGTATAGGACTCGTATCTGCCTGTGTATGAGGCAGATTTTTCCTTCTTCGGCTCGTTGGCCGAAGATTGTTCTGAGGCCTTGGCCTTTCCCTTTGTCCTCTGGCCTTGGCCTTCAGACAAGGGTGTTTGTTTTTGCTTCCCTCCCCCAGATTGAGGTTGGGTTTTTGTTTTGTTCCACTCTTCGGCTCGGATGAATTTATCCGAGGCGTTCAGAGCTTCCTCCAAGGTCTGCGGGGTATGCATGACCATGAAGTCTAGGAACTTCCCAGGCTGAAGGCCATTCTGCATTGCAAAAACGGCTAACCCCTGGTCCAGCTAAGAGACGCTGGATGACTCGTTGCTGAAACGGGTCAGATAGTCTTGGAGGCTTTCGGCCTCCCCCTGTTGCAGACCCATGAGTTCTGCAGTAGTCTTCTCTCGGCGGTTTTCCGTGGAGAACTTGCTCCTAAATTTGGAGGACAGATCATCCCACCCTGTTATAGAGCCTTGCTTCACTCCCGTGGAGATCCATGCTTGCGCGACCCCCTTGAGAGTGGTTGGAAAATATTTGCACCAAGTCGCTTCGGATTTGGGGCAAAGATGCATATGAGCCTCATACGAGGCAATGTGGTCCTTCGGATCCGAAGTCCCATCATATGTGATGTGCGACGGTATTTTAACCGTGGGCACGTGCTCTTCCAGTATCCATTGCTCGAATGGGGAACTGGTGGGTAGCATAACGGCCTTGCCCTTGTTCCTGGCCGAAGGGACCGCGCTCTGCCCTCTTAGAGAGGTAGGAGTGGTTTTCGTCCCTGGCTGGGAAGTCTGGGCCTCGGCTACAGGGAACGAGAGGCGACTGTGCACGCTCGGTTCCTTGCCGCCGAGTCGGTCGAGGACGCTTCGGCGAACAGTCTCAGGTTGCTCTCGGCGAGCAGATTTTGGCCGAGAAGCTGAGCTGCTGCTCTTATGCGTTTCTGGTCGAGAGGTTGAGGATCCTCTGAAAAATTGAGGGTTCTTTTTCCTCCCTCTTTCAGTTCTCCAGGTATCCTCTTCCCACTTTTCCAAATCCCGGAAGGAAGGAGGTTTCCCACCATCATGGTCTAGCTTCCTCCGCTGACGCCGGGTATGCTGAGGAGTTCGATTGCGGGGTGGAGGCATATTTTGTGCCCTCATTGCCTCCATGAGCACTGCCAGCGCTCTCGCCACCTCCTCCGAGCTGGGCCCCGTCAAAGGGGTCCTCGGCTGAGTGTGGGAGTGAGAGCGGATGGTCGATGGTTGGCTTTGGGGCACTGAATGAGTCCTATGATCGGACTGACCTCTGCTAGACCGAGAGGGACTCGGCCTATGATGAGAGTTGTGAATTACGGGAGAAAGGGAATCCTCCCTGTATGATCCTCCCCCCGAGCTAGCACCCTTGGGAGAGTTCCGGTCCGGCGAGGGTGATGGAGTAGGAGTTTTAGGTTTTTCGCCTGCTCCTCGACGGAGGCTTTTGCTCTTGCGGTTCTTAGCCATTGCTACTAAGATGATTGCAAGATGATTTTGATTAGAAATTTGGTTTACAGATTTTTGAAAGTCTTCCCCACAGACGACGCTAAATTGTTTCGGATGAAAACAATGGGGCCTTGCTGAAGGCCCGCTGAAGTGGCTGAAGACTGGTCCGGTCCAGTTAATGCTGGGCCGAAGGTTTCCTGCACAACTAAAACACGTAAACTGGCCTCGGGGGTGGATCCGAGGAAGACCCCTCCGATGCCGAAGTCGAACAGTGTTTAGAGAGGAAAAGCTATGCAAGAGATTTAATGCTTGAGGATTTGTTGTGTTGTTCTTTACAAATGAATGAATTGAAGGCTTTTATACCTTTGCACATGATGAGAGGAGAGCAATTGGGCCTTTAAATAGTCATGGGCTGACCATGGCAATTCGGACCAAAGGACTCTTGGCTGACTTGGCTTGATTGGAGACTCGGGCCTTGACCTTGGAATATGAAGTCATTTAGTGTGAAAATTATACCCTACATCCTAGTGTAGGATGGTCTACCTACACCCCCTGATGCTACGCCATTTTGTAGCTTGCGGGGAGTACTCACGAGCTAATTCATGCTTCAATTCTTTCCTTTTTTTTATTTATTTTTTTAATTCCTTGTTTCTTATTATTCAAGCTATGTATATAAATGATTTTAAACCCAATATTTTCTCTCTCCTCAATTGATCAATTTCCATTTTTCTACCTACATTCTCTCTAGTTAATTCATCTTCTTCATTTGATTTTATACTAATTTTGCCGTTTATTTTTCCTACGATTTTGATAATTGTTGTTGATCGTCAATGGCTGATTCTTCCTCTGCTAATTTCGATCGTGATTACGAAAGTGTGTTTCCGTCTTCTAGAGTTCGATTGATTGATTCGTTTGTTCATCAACAATGTGAGTAATTACAATCATAATTTTGTAATTTTTATCATCAATACATTGTTGTGTTATAATGCTCTGTTTATTTCAACTTAATTTATGTATTATTATTCTTTTCGTTGCTTCAATTTTCAAAATTTGATTATGATTATGATGAACGTTTTTGGATTGTTCATACTTTGTTATGAATATTTCGCTGCTTCAATTTATTTCATTGCTCTATGTTTGAAAATTGCGTGATTTTGTTTTTATGCTTTTATTTTTTTTTTTTGGATCATTTTTATATTTAAAATTAATCAATTATGTGTTATCATTTGTACTTCTTAATTTTTTTATGTCATATATGATTATTTGTTTTTACCATTTTTTCTTGATAATATTATGTGTCAAAATTTTCCATATTGATCATGTGCAATTTTGCTATTGAACATTGTATTTGTTAATTATTGTTCATTTTTGAAACATGTTATGTTCATTTATAATTGTACATTAAAACTTTGTGCAATGAGAAAAAAAAACTGATATTTCATATCTTGCTAAGGTTTTGATCTTATCTGTTTATTTAAGTGTTTGAAATTGAACATTTATATATTTTAATATGATCATTTAACTTTTATTTGAAGGCGAAGGATTTAGTGTTTAAAGGATTTAATATGATCATTTTTTGAAACTTGTTATGTTCATTTATAATTGTATATTAAAACTTTGTGCAGTGGGAAAAAAAGCTGATATTTCATATCTTGCTAAAGTTTTGTTTTTCTTATCTGTTTATTTAAGTGTTTGTAATTGAACATTTATATATTTTAATATGATCATTTAATTTGTTTTGCAGTCGAAGGATTTAAATATTCCTATAAATAAAAGTGTTGCTGGTGTTTCTGCTGCTCAAGCTCAATGTAATGTTCCTATAAATAAAGGTGGTGCTGGTGTTAAAAATGATGCTCAAGTTAATCCAAGAGTACTAATGCGTCTACAAAATCTCAAACTAGATATTTTGTTCCACCCGTAGTTCTTGGCATTGTTCCAACTTCAACTCAGGATTGTTCAAACTTCAATCTAGAAATGTTTAAACCCCATTCCAGAAATGTTCAATCGACAAATGTTTAAGTTATTCCTCCCACGGTTCCAATAAATGATCAAGGTGCTCTTGTTCAAAGTTCTTCAAGTGTTAAAGACATAAGAATTTGTTTCTATATAGTACCTTTTTTAGTATATTGTTTTTTTAAAATTCAACATATGTAAATGATTATTTATCAATTTGAAAATGAACAAAAGTAAAGAACCAACAACCAATTCATAAAACCTAAAAATTATATATATTTTTTCATACAAATAAAGATTAAAATGAAATATCAATTACAATAATTTTTTTAACAAATAATATCTATAAGTCTATTTTCCTCCAAAAAAAATCATCTATAAAACTATATACTTCCTCCGTTTTCTTTTACTTGCAACACACCTTTTAGGCACGCAATTTTAGGAGATGATTAGTGAGGGTAAACGAGCTATTTTATCAATATAATTTTTACACGAAGATTAGAATAGGGTTAAGTATCATTTGTAAAAATTATAATGAATAATTTATCCGTTTACATTATATAAACCCGACCTCAAAACACGTGCCACAAGGCTGTGTTGCAAGTAAAAAGAAATGGAGGAAGTTTAAGATATGATCATATACACATTCATTAATGAACATATACACTTTCATAAATGAACATATAACATGTACTGTTCATTTGCAAACTTCCTTGCTTATCTTCGATTTAACCTATATTTAGTGTTTTTCTTCAAATAGCATCAGTTCCGCATCCTTGCTTCCTAATTTGGTTCACCTGTTGAACAAAATGAATTAACAAATGTTAATTATTATATACACTACTTTATAAATGAACAATATATCTTACATTAATGAACATTTATCACTTTTACACTATTTGGTTTCAAATCACAAATCTAACTCTCATTAAGTTTAGTAGTGAATGTTTCTATATGCTTCATAATTTATACTCCGCAGTTTGTATAATCAGCGTTGTTAAGCCATATTATCTTCTCCAAAACAACTACGTATTCTTCAATTCCATGTGCAAATTTATATCAAATGTGTAACTTTGGACATCACTACAATATAGCTAGATTGGTTGTAAGATATTAGTTTTAATGCATACAAATGAACATTCTCAATATTATACATGAGGATAATGTATAAAAGAAATGAACATTCGTTATTTAGGCATATAAATATATATGTAAACTGAAATGAACCAATATTAACATATATTTTAAAATGAACATTACTTTATATGTAAATGAACATTATGAATTTCATAAATGATCAAAAGATTTGATAGAATAAATAAGTCAGTTTCTCAACTCAAATGAATGATTATTTATGCATTTCATAAATGTGCATAACATATCATAAAAATGAACATTATTTATTTAGGCATATAAAGTCAAATATAAACTCAAATAAATTCAAATATACAAATGAACATTTATAATTCTATATATGTTCATATATTAACTCGGAATCGTAGAAATGTTAACATCTATACCATAAGACTTTTTAATATCTTTTAAAAGTTCTAGATCTACAACTTGAGACTTTTGTTCGTTGTTTTTTTTTAAAAAAAAATTTCTACTCTTGTTTAAATAGGTTTTTGAAATAATACTTACGTTTCTTCAGACTATGCCTTGTTATGTTCAACGAACATGATTCTTCTCTGAATCATCATTCTCTTTATCTCTCTAATTCGAAATATATTTTTCGGTTCTGTAAAAAATAAAAAAAACACAAAACATAGTAGATTTTAATGATTTTTGCATAAAATAGTTCTAATCAAGTTAGATTATGTTTCTGAACATGTAATTTCAAAATGAAATACGTAGTAGAAAAAATAGGTTCATACAAAAAAAATTAGTAAAATTACTTACTCTTTCTGTGAATGTTGTTGCGATTGTTGAATTTCTTCGCAAATGTAGACATTTGAAGGAATTTAGCAATATTTTGAAGCAATTTCGTAGTATTTTGAAGCAATTTTGTAGTATTTTGAAGCAATTTTGGTTCATATTTTCTAGTTTTGATGAGAGAGAAAGTCTAGAGAAATGAAGAAGAAGGTTTTAGAGAGAATGGTAGGTAGTTACAGTAGGTTAGTGGGTTATGGGATGTGGGTAACATGATAAACGCATCGTTTAGAGGGGGGTGTAGGTATCCCTACCTACACTAGGGTCTAGTGTATACCAATTACATTTAGTGACCAGACCCAATAAGATAATTGGACCCAAATACATGACTAGGCCCAATTAGATAAATTGGACCCAAACACCTTCGTTTCAGATTAACACATGTACGTGTCATAATATTGCGATTAATTTGTTTCAGAAAAAAATAAAAAAAAATGTTGCAATTAATGTGAAATAGGGGAGTTTAAACGTGTTGCGATTAGTCAGTGCAGAGTTACATTGCATGAGGGCTATTGGCCACGAGAAGCAACAGTATTGGCTTTAATCCTGCCTGTATTTTTGTACGAGTATTAAATTCATATCACGATACTTGGCAAGAGCTCAGAGCAGCAAAGGATCTGACAATTACTAGCGTTTTTATTTTCTTTTTTACTTTTCACTTGCTACAGATTTCATTTATAGCAAATACGCGGTTTTGGCCAAGCCATTCACAGACCTCACATCTCAGATTACTTAAATTGGTCGACATACATCGCTTATCTAAATTGAGTATGTAAAGTGTGTCAATTATTATGAAACGGAAGACTAATAAAATACATTGTAGTAGCATAGAAATAGAAATGTGGTAGACATATAAAAGTGGGATAGAAATGGGACGGTGATGTATGACTCTTAAAAATGTCAAAAAGTAGAAATGTGGCATCTAATATGGGCAATGAGATTTAGATTAGACATCAACAATGGTGGGGATACAGTTTGGTCATTTACAAATGTTTCACTAGTCGGTATATAAGTTGTTTTTCTATGTTACTCATAAACAACTGTCTTCTCTTAGCCATTTTATAGGATTTTTGGCTTTGCTAGTTTGGACCATATGGTATATGAACAAAATAAGTCGTACTTCTCGCTTCTTGTTTACTTCATTGTCTAATAATGGATTTTGTTTTCAAGGTACCCTTTTAAAAAACTTCTTCATGTTAAATGTTATAATATCAATGTGACAATTAATTGAATGTAATTTGAAGATAATGAAAAAAAAAAAATCACCATAAGATGTGTTGATAGACTATACTAATTTATCGTGAGTTCATGTAATCACTTTTGAACTACATCTTAATGTATGATGATACAAGTGATGGATTGATAAAACTAATCTTAGCCCCATTGATATTATATACGTAGGCTGTACAAGTGACCTACTAAAGTCTATAGATACCTCAATCATCTCATAGTCTAGCTTTTAAATTGGGGCTCCAAATCATAAGAATTCCTTCGAGATTTACAATAACGGAATAGTTCATATCATTTTCGATTTGTTTTAAATTTGATTTGTAGTACATCAAGGTCATCAACCTTTTACTGGTAGCATCAAAATTAATTTATTAATGATGTCATGGAATAGTTCATATCATTTTCGGTTTGTTTTAAATTAATTTTGATGCTTAAAAATATACTTGTAGCATCAAAATTAATTACGCTTTTATAAATTAGAACATGTATGAATATATATTAACAGTTACTCGTAATATTTATTCCTTATTTTTAAAAGGTGAATCGAGTGAAAGAGAAAAGAATTTAAGTAACATATAGTACATATACATAAACTAGGAAAGAACAAAGCAACAAAAATGGTAACATTTTAACTTACAATTAAATAATTGTTGGTTATGTAACAAGTAAGGTATCACTATCTCAGTAAACTTTACACAAATTTAGAAGATACTCACAATCATGGAGCACAGAAATGCATGCTCCACAAATAGCCAGTTGTAAAATAAAAATAAAATGGAATAATCCCATGACACAAATTAAAGAAATTCACCAAAAGCCAAAAGAACAATCTATTAAATATGTCATGCATTCACACCTAGCTCTAAGATGAGGTGATGGAACAAAACATAGGATATAAATATCTTTAATTTACTCCTCAATTTATATATTCTGAACAAAACATCTATCTCACCTCAACTTTTTTTATTTCAATTATTCCACATTTAATAATTTTCATAATTTTTTTTTCAGAGGAATTTGAGAAAAATGGCATCCTCACTATACATAGTAAAATATAATTTTATACTAACAATAATGTTTTATTTTTTTATTATAAACCTCAAATATACAAAGGGTGATCAACTAGCACCAGCATTGTTTGTGTTTGGAGATTCATTGGTTGATGTTGGCAATAACAATCATCTTCCTTTCTCCATTGCTAAGGCCAATTTTCCTCATAATGGCATTGATTTTCCTACTCACAAGGCCACCGGAAGATTCAGCAATGGCAAAAATGCCGCCGATTTACTTGGTATGTAATCTCACTCACTCTTTTGATACTGCTACAAGTTTAAGGTTTAGACGATATAACTTTATAATCCCTGTGTAATCTCGATCAATTATAGCAATATATTTACTTCTAACTTATTTTCTCACCGCTTATTGTTTAGGTATTTATTGTTTACGTACGTAGTTATTAAACTTAATAGACCATAGAATAAAACACTTGTCATTATTTTGTATAAATATGCCATGTTTTGTGTATAATAACAACACTTAATTATAGTAGATGGGTATATATAAATTGCGTAAATATGATGTTAGAGGCTCTAATTGATATTATTACTACTTTATAGGTAATTAGGTGTTTAATTTATCTATACTATAATTCTCTCTATGAATGGACACCCCTAACTTTTCAAAATTATGTAAATTATTATGAATGGGCATTGAGAAATTAAACTAAAATTATGTAAACTATGAATGGGCACCTCTTAGTTTTTTGTTTGGTCTATTTACCAAAGTCCAAATAGATGACATGACATGTTCTACACACTTCAAACATTTTGGCATCTCATGAAATGTGATAGCGGCGTTCATGCATCATTGCATTGCACACATAATTAACTTGCATTTGTTTAGTTGTTGCAAATAATGTACCCTTTTAGAAGATGTTTGTTCATATTACGCAACAGTTTGTGAATAATGGAAGTTAGTATATACTAGAAATTTAATCTTTCTCCTTTTTTATTTTTATTATTATTTTTTTTTAAAATAAAGACATCTAAACAAATTGAAAATCTTACATGCTTATACATAGTAATTACGTGTGACTCTTAATGTTCAAAAATTTCAAATATTACAGTACAATGCAATGTCATTTTTATGTATCTTTACGTATAAAATTTCTTAGGACAAAAAGCCGTAACTTGTTAAATTGAAATTCATAAGAAGCTAGAGAACTATCTAATAGTATATATAATTGTGCACATTTTTTTTTCCAATTATTGATTTTTCAATACCCAATACTTGTTACAGTAGTAATTTTGTTTAGTCTGGTTTGATATACCTTTCAAATTAAATGAATCAAACCATCAAGGAGCCGATGATATAAATTGTTACATAAATTAATGACCTATAGAGATCAAATGGGTGTACTATAAGCTTTACCATAATAGAATATCTGCATCAAATAGTAATTAATGGTATTTAATTAAGCCTAACAGCATATTTTATTTTTGAGATTATAATAGGAATGAGAGCTCCAGTTAGATTGTTAGCTAACAAGTTGGTTGTATAAGGAGATAAATGTATACCCATTTGATAGGGTATGGAGGTTGGCAAATGAAATAATTGTTCCTTAATTGAATGACTTTGTTTTTAATGGTAAAATATTGATTTTCTATTTTCATGATTAACCTTTAATTTACCAGCTGAGAAATTGGGGTTAGTGTCTCCACCACCATACCTTACCTTGACACACACCAAAAGTAGCAACTTTTCAAGTGGAGTTAGCTTTGCATCTGGAGGTGCTGGAATCTTTGATGGCACTGACCAACTTTACGTATGACTTCCTTAACTCTCTTCTCAACTTTGTGAAATAGTAATTTTTATTATACTGTCAGTTGTACTGTATAATCAAGGTTATTTTTCTTTCGTGTATGCTCATTTAGGAAGGTCACGTAAACAATTGAACAAACATAGTATTGGTTGTACGTGTGTATGTTACAACTTATTGTTCTGTGGTACACATTTAGCTTAACTTGACCAGCTCTGTACAAAAACAAGATAACAAGATTCATTTATACATTGAATCATTTTGAAACTTTTTTGTTACTTAATCTGTGTTAAACCCACCCCATTAATGCTTATGTATTAAAGTTCAAATTAGTTCATACAAAACAAGTCGAATAAAACAATCTGTAACCATAAGACTCAACTATGATAAGAGTGAGATATAAGAATTGAACCAATTAGATACTTAATATTTCAAAATAATAAAATATTATATAATGTGACATAGCACATATACATATGTAGAAACGAAAAAGAATCATATTCTTGGGTGATTGGATTAGAAAAATAATTTTTTGCTTAATTGTATAGGAAATGAAACCTTAAACTAGAAGAAAAGTGGGCCGTTTCAGGCTTTTTGTAAAGAAAAAGAATCTTATAAATGGGCTAAAGCAAAAAAGTAATTGGGCTACCAACAATCCGTCAAACGGTCAAAGCAGATTAACCCCTAAAAATAAAAAAATGCGGTGAGCGTGGATCGAACACGCGACCTTCAGATCTTCAGTCTGACGCTCTCCCAACTGAGCTATCCCCGCATGTTGATTATTTCTTGTTTTTATTATATTTATTAATTTTAATATTTTCTGTTTATAATAATAAATTTTCAGCGTCAATCTATACCTCTTACCAAGCAAGTAGATGACTTCGGTATAGTACAAGGGAAAATAACGCAACTATTGGGACAAATAGAAGCACAATAAGTATTGTCGAAATCAGTGTTTGCGATCGTGATTGGAAGCAATGATATCTTTGGCTATTTCGGTTCATCCGCTTCTAGTCAAAAGAAAGTCACCCCTCAACAATACGTGGCTTCTATGGTACTCGCTTTCAAAGGTCAATTAAAGGTATATGTCTATATTCTTCCACTTCATTATTATTATTCACAATCGATAGCATGGAGTACATATGCATTTACGAAACAGTAGACATTACTAGTTCAAATAACACTATTTTTACGACACAAGATAGTTTACATTAATATATTGAAATACATATTGTGATTACAATTTATACAATTTTGGAAGAAAAATTATTAGTACTTTCTCTTGATGTATTTTAATTAATCGCAGCGACTATACGATTTTGGAGGTCGAAAATTCGTGATATTCGGGGTGGCAGCAGTAGGGTGTTGCCCGTCACAGAGAGACAGGAACAGAACTGAAGCTTGCAATGAAGCAGCCAATTTTGGGGCTTCCAGTTATGACAAAGGACTCATATCAGCTCTTCAGGATTACCAAACACAACTTAAAGGCTTCCAATATACCTACTTCGACACCTACGCCGTCTTCCTTAACCTCATCCAACAACCAGCTACCTATGGTACGTTTATTATCGCGTAAAGTGGTTGTCTCATGGCACGTAAAATCATAAATGATATGGTCGATTGTTAGAGATATGACATATCGGATGATATATCTCTAACATAGATCGTTCACATGCTTAATATGGAATACTTATTAATTGCCTCCATACTATAAGGGTCTATTCTCATATATGTTTATTTTCAGTTCAGTTCAGCTCTTAATTTCCCTTATAAAATATTCATTTCAGTTCATTTCAGTTTAGTCCACTTCAATTCATCTCCTAATTTCCTTCTCTTATAAAATATTCATTTTAGTTCAGTTCAGTTTAACTCAGCTCAATTCAGTTCAGTTCAGTTCAGTTCAGCTGAGTTCAATCTACGAGAACATACCCTAATTCATATTTCTTAAAAAAAAAAAAAAAAAAAAACCTAGCTTAGTAATTTATAATGTAATGATGCTACAACTTATGCTATCCTAGCGATATGAGTATGATGTGGTGTCATGTCAATGTTAGAGCGGTAGCGACTTATAATATTGGGACATAATATATGTACATGCCTAAGGTTTTAGAACTTGTTTACATCATAGATTTTGTTCAACTGTTACAGGTTTCAAGGAAGCAAAAGCAGCATGTTGTGGAGGAATAGGAAATTTACATGCAAAACTAGCTTGTCTACCCATCTCAACTTATTGTTCCAACCGAAGTGACCATGTATTCTGGGACCTTTACCATCCAACTGAAGCAGCCGATCGAATCATCGTTGATACGGCTTTCACTGGTCCCCGGAAATTTGCCTTTCCCGTCAATGTGAAGCAGCTAGTTGCAGCATAGGTAAATGACATAGTTAAGCTCTAATTATGTAGTACATTCCAATTCAGTAGTATACAGTACTATACAGCAGTCACCATGTTGTTTTCACTACGTACAAGAGGGTCTTAAAACATTAATTGCACATCTTACCCTTGATTACTTGAAACAAAAATGGTGTATCTAGAGTACTTGTTACGGATCAAAATGAAGATATATACATTATTGCACTTTTTGCCCTAGGGTTTTGAAAATAATGTCATGTATGAAGAAGAATAATACTTGTCTACTCGCTCCGTGTTTTTTAATGGTTACACTTTGACCTTATTAACATGGCATGAAATTCATACTCTATCACACAGGCCCATCCATACCTGGAGCTGACTCCAATACCATGTTAATGGACCATCTCAACCAAAAGTTTAAACTTACAAAATGTTTTATACTCTGATCTATGTTTTATACTCTAATCTATGTTTTATACTCTAATCTATCATTTATTGTAGTGTGAACAACTTACAAAATGTTCATATCAGAAGGTAGTTATTTAAAAGTAAAAACAAATTCGTTATTCATAAACTTTTGTTACATTGTATATAAGGTAGTTCTGCATATTATTAATTCATGTAACTAGATCTAGTAGATTTTCAACAAAACCACTAATGTAAAACTCTTCAAGCTCTTTAGCCAACAAGAATTCTCTCCATTTTGCTTGATTGATCCGTGCTTCCCTTCCCACCTCACTTTTCAGGTCCATTACTGCCTTAATTGCCTTACAAATACCCTCTTTGGTGAGAACACCATCTTCTCCTTTCTCAACTTCGACCCCAATTTTCAAGTCCAAACTCATCATCCTCGCGTTGATAAATTGATCGGTAACCTGTGGGCATAGTACTATTTGACAATCACTCACCATAGCCTCCGATAAAGATCCAGCACCGCAATGTGTCAAAAAACATCCTACTGAAGAATGTTGTAGGATTAGTTGTTGTTGCACCCAGCCTCCATGAACAACTCCTCTTCCCTTTGTTCTCTCTATGAACCCTTCTGGTAAAGCTGATTCGATTGTTTCGTAACCAATTGGTGGTTTCAGGGCAGCATAAAATGGCATTCCTATATGAAATGTTGCATGTACCATAAAATATTATAAAATGAACAATATTATTTAAATTGTCATTTCGTCCATACATAGGACTAAGTATAAATATTAATTAATTGAAAATTTTATAGTGGTCGTTTGAAATATAAATACCATAATGTTTTATTATTTATATAGTTCATGATTGACAGTAGGACAGACAAAAATGAAAGAAATTAGGGGAAAAAACTAGTAATAAATATATTTGTTACCAGTAAGTTCAAAACCAAGAAGCAACTCTTGAAATCGGTCCTTACTTAGAGAGCATTCACTCCCAAGTGCACAATAGATCACACTACCCTTATCAAAACCACTCAGCCACCCATCCAAATGGTCATCTAACACGGCCGCGGGTTGTTCCGGCACCACTGGCCCAGCCAATAGCATGGGCTTTCCATACACCTTGTGTATAAAATCACAATAAACCCCCTCCATTTCCCTACAACTCTTGACTGCAAAGGCATCACATGCTTCAAGAGCAACGGCATGCCTTTGTAGCATTGTCTTTCCTTTTCCTCCAAATTCCATGTGGGTTACCATGTACCCCACAGCGCGAGCCTCATGGGCTTGCAACGTGATCATGGACTTGGAGGACGGAAACCCAGGTGGCGGCCTAGACAAGTCTTGGCCGCCAGGTTGAGCCCTTGCTCGGGGCAAGAAATAAGCCCCACTAACCGCGAACATTGTGGCATAGTACACAGACTTGGCCCCATGTTTACGGGCCAACCCAGGTAGCCACTCGGTAAAGTCAAAGAAGACTAAGTCAGGTTTTAGCTCAGAGAGCAACGAGTCAATGGTATCCCTTGTCAAGTCCATGGCTTCCATGATCAAAGAACGATCCTCGTAAGGAACATCAGCCGTTGTCTCGGCCTCACAAGGTAAGCCTTTGACCGCGGGAATGGTGATAGGAATGAAGGTGATAAGGTGAGGGTGGTGATTGTGAGGTGTTAGTTTGGGTTGTGTTTTGTTGGGGAGGAAGAAAGAGACTTTGTGACCTCGTTCGGCTAGTTTATTGGCTAATTGAAGGAATGATGTAAGGTGGCCAAAAGCAAACCAAGAGTACATTGCTATATGCAAAGGCCTCTCTTTTTCCTCAACCATACTTGCTATTTTTTTATCCATAATATTTTCTACAAGTTTGTAGTGAATATAAACATCATAACACACATCTTTTTATAGAATGCAAATTACTAATCAAGGAAGAATTCTAAGACAATCCAAACATTATATTCACATTCCAAATTTAGAAAGATTCAAAGAGTAGAAATTTGAGTACGATTGTAGCACTAACTTAAAACAGCTCACATCTATCCGATGATCTAGCTTAGATACATACCGAGCCCCACGTTCGAGCGAGCTGAGTAACATTGCTAGCGTACTTATCCATTATATTTCAGTTCAGCCTAGCTAGTTCAACTCTTACTTGTTCGTTCTCTTTGTTGATTTCTTTTATATAATTCTCAACGTGCTTGCTTGCAATAATTTAGCCAGCTCAAGTACAGAGTGTATCTTCAAAGCATTAACATATAATAATAATCCGCTTCTAATTTAAATATTTGTAGGCATGATTTTGTTCTTTGATTTGGTTTCTAATTTAATAAAATACTCCATTCCATGTATCTTAATTAGATACACAATTAAAAACTAAGCACGGTCTTTTTCATGATCTTAATTAGATACACAATTTTACTAACTACTACTATATCATGGAAGACGCAGTACGTTACTCTAAAGTGTGTGATCAACCTTCAAAAAGAATGGTGTCCTTTGGCTTATTCGCGGTTGCTGAAACTTTAGACTATTTTCTGATGCTATTAGGAGGCATTGGAGCATGTATTCATGGTGCTGCACCTCCGGTATTCTTTGTACTAGTTGGCCAGATGATCGATTCTTTAGGGAGTTTATCATCATCAGATCATTATTTGTAATCTTCCCGTATATCACAGGTCAGTATCACGCATTAGTTCCTTCATATGCCTCATCATCATATAGTTCAATTTTCTCAAGACTAATAGGGAAATTCTCAGCCTCTAATCGCTTGAGTTTTTAATGAATCTAATAATAATGTCTGTTGGTATTAAATTGTGCTTTAATGGTACCAATTTAATACCAAAATACTCCCTCCGTCCCTTAATACAAAGCTTCTATCGGTATTAGTACCAACAAATGCAATAATAATGAATCTAATAATAATGTCTGTTGGTACTGTTTTATTAGTACCAACAAATGCATTAAGCTCTATTGGTATTAGTGCCTATAGACTTATTTGTTGGTATTTAGATGGTACTCGTACCATCTAACACACCTTAGTACCAACGGGCGATATTAGAGTAAATTAAAGGTTGCTACTATTTGAGGCTGAGAAATGGATTACTCTGATGAAGCAAATTGATTAGTGTTATGTTTTTCTTTTTTGCAGTTATCAATGTACCTAGTTTATCTTGGATTACTAATGCTTGTATCTTCATGGCTTGGTAAAATCTACTTATTTTCTTTTCTTTTCTTTTGGTTAGCCTAATCATTTTAGTAGATAATGGTGAAATTGTACCATTATATGCTTCGACATGTTTTAACTCTCTTTGATGTAATTTTTCGGTTATTTTGGCACTTAGGTGTTGCATCCTGGAAACAAACTGGAGAAAGACAAGCATCTCATATGCGATTGAAATATCTCAATGCGATTTTGAAGAAAGATATTCAATTTTTTGAAACAGAATCCCAGCACAAAAATTTGATCTACCAGATTTCGAGTGATACTATATTAATACGGGATGCCATAGGTGACAAGGTTTAGTATGGGCTTTTTATTAGGATTATTTGTGTGGTATATAAACTATATATAGCCTAAATAGTCTTAAGTCACGATCTCTTCACGTTTTTTAAAGGGAAAATTTGCCAAAAATCTTCTTATACAACACTTATCTCGTACTTTTTTGAGCATCTTATAATTTTTTTTGGTATAGCTTTAACTTTATTTTTATTTTGCAAAATACATGTTATGTCAAATTTCGTCCGGAATTAATCTCGTCACATGTGGGTCACGTAATCTCATAAAATTACTCTCACCACCAACTCAGAGCTACCCTCACCAACACCATCTCACCTGATAAATTCATTCCCATAAAAAAAAAAAAAAAAAAAAAAAAAAAAAAAAAAAAAAAAAAGAGGGAAAGAGATAAGAGACCTCAAGAGCACATTTATGCAACTAGAGCTTCCTCAAACGGTTGATGGCATGAAAAATATCACTCCTATAAACAGGAAAACCTTCAACCTTTCATTTCTGAAATACATACCCAATTGATTCTTCTCTTGGAAGCCTCTCTATTCTTTTAAGACAACATCTTGGGTGCTGAGCTCGAATGCTTCAAACTCAACTAAGATCGATCACTGATTGTTTTGAGTGCCAAATGTAAATGGGGCTAATTTGTTGGTCGTTTTCAGTGGCACACCACCTGTTCGATGAAATGTCGCTGTGAGTGAACGCCCTAAAGCAAGGGCGATTGCTCTCATATTTGTTAGATGTGAGACCAAATTAGTTCATTGGTGAGGTGTATCATATCGGAATTTCGTTCTACATAAATTTAACTACCGATCAACGCTTTGTTTAATGTTCTTCACCTTCTTTGTTTTTGTGAGATGGTGTTGGTGAGGGTGGCAGTGAGGTGGTGGTGTTGGTGTGGGAAAATGAAAAAAAAAAAAAAAAGAAAAAAAAGAAAGAGGCTGTTTTATGAAATCACGTGACCCACACATGATGAGGTAACAAGGTCAACGCTTGGATCAGGCATAAGGTGTGTTCTCTCAAAAAAAAAAATGTTAAGGTGTTTTGTTAAAAAAAAATTACAAAGGCAGGAGTAGTACCTTTTTACAATTAAATTTTTTTTATAAAGAGGTTTTTGGCAAAATTTTCTTATTAAAGTTAAACTAGACTTTTGGCCCGTTCGATGTAGGTTAGTTCATATGTAGGTATGTTTTTTAATAGTTGAAACTTTTGATATGAAATACGAAGTAATTGTTTCATTGCTAAAACTTAAAAGGGAAAAAAGAATGAGGGTAGAACTGTGGAAAACGATAAAGGAATTTAGTTATGTATATATACATGAAGATTGTAGGATATGAAATGACATATTGGTTTAAGTTATATTCTAAGTCTATAAGTTGAAAAGACAATTTTTATATAATTCAATTCATATGTTTATGTGATGTATATATTAATTGGTTCAATTTTATTTTATTATGATGGAAATGAAACACTTCATTTTCTTAATTGAATTTGCAAGTTATAGAATGTATAAAGACTTAAACAAAATGATTAAAAGGGGTGACATGTGTCATACTTCCTCCGTTCTGTTAATATTGCAACAAGTTAATATTGCAACAATGGACTTTTTGCACTATTCATCACTCTTGTTTGACCATATAATATGATTCATATGTTAAGCAAAATATAGTCATTTGAGATTTTGTTGGATTCGTCTCATAAAATACTTTCACTATATCAGCTTTTTATAATTTTTACTCTTACACAACTATAGATATTTAGCATATAAAATGTGCATTGGGATGCGTAATTTCCTCCTTGTTGCAATATTAATAGAACGGAGGAAGTATGTGATAGTAAGTGACTTATGATGACATGTGTTATATGAAAAATTATGGTTTGTGTTTTTAAATACTAAGTATAGATATAGATTATTTGACACATTTTACGTTGACACGTTTCTGAATGAATAATTCATACTTAGGGGCCGTTTGATATGGAGTATTCAGGAAAGGGAATGGGAATTAACTGTCCCGATTCCCTTTGTTGTTGTTGTTTGTTAAGCACTTTTTTTATTCTCTTTACCCTCCCATTACCCCAAATCCTTCCAACTTCATTCCCAACCCTCCCAGACTTTCCCATTCCCTTTCCTTTGCCACCCCTCCACCACCGCATCCACTACCCTCCACCACCCAGTCGCACCTCCACGGCTCCACCGACCATCGCCGCCCCTTCCCCGACCATCACCACCCTTACCCCGACCATCGTCTACCTTCGCAGCCCTTTCCCCGACCTTCCACGAGCTTCCACGACCTTCGCCGCCCCTTCCCCTCCCCTCGCCGCCCACCGATAAACACTCGCCGCCAAAAACCCCTCCCCTACCTCAAAACACCTCCCTTACCTCCAAAAACCATAAGGGAGGTTTTTCGAGGGAGAAATGAGTTGCGTTGGGCTCAGCAAGTGGTGGGAGAGGGCTTGCGAAGGGCGGCGAGGGGAGGGGGAGAGCCGGCGAGGGGCGGGGGAGGGCCGGCGAGGGGTTTGGTGGCTGAGAAAGATGAAAAATTAATGCAATGTGTGGTTGTGTGGTGGTGGGATTGATTGCCTTTGTTTTTAAAACAAACAATAAAGCAAAAATAAGGCATTTACATGACAAAAAGAAATCATTATAACTTAAGTGAATAATGTCTAAAGTTAATACATGCATGTCAACTTAAAAGAAACGGAAGGAGTAATAGGCTAAATCATTTAGGCATGTACATGGAGTAGTAGCTAGTAAAACATTTAAGGCAAGAGCCAAGATGCATATACTTCGCTACATTTTAATATGGAGCAGTAGCTAGTAATTCTCTTATTCACTGCTCTCTTTTACTAATTTTGTAGGTCGGACATAGCATTCGTTATCTTTCACAGTCGGTTGTTGGTATGATAATAGGCTTCATGTTGGTATGGCAGCTTACGCTTGTCACTTTGGCTATTATTCCCTTAATGGTCATTGCAGGAGCTTACACTGTAATTCTGACCAAGTTATCGCTAAAAGTTGAAGTTGCCTATGCTGAATCTGGGATGGTTGCTGAAGAGGTAATAATCTTAAGGAAACAAAATTATTATACTAGTATTATTATAAATATTTCAACATTTCTTACTGTAAGCACCATATTGTAGAATAACTCATAATTGTCTCAATTTCGGCCAGGATTCAAACTCTTAAAAATTATTCTTAGTGAACAGAATTTGAATCTCCTCTTTGGGAGCGTTATGATTTGTGAAAAGATTGAGAACACTACCGGCCTAAAAATGGGATTAGTAGGAGTTAATGGTAAAAAGTTCGGATTATTCTTATTAATTTTCCAAACTTGACTTGTACAAGTATGCAAATTGCTAAGTTATAAATTTAACTGATAATCAAGGAGATTGTATTCCATTTAGATTATCATTGTGGCTAATTAAAACTACTTAA